GTCATCGCCAACTCCGTCTCCTTCCCACCGCCATGGGCCTCCCAGTCCCAGCAAAGAGGCCAAAGGTGAAAGGGGAAAAATCAGGTGCGGGAGCCGTGTCCTCAAGCCACGACATTGCCCAACGCGTTCTCTAGCTCCGTGGCTCGACGAAAAGCGACCGAGGAGCGTTGGGAGACGCGCCCCTCTGCTGGGGGATGGCAAACAGACGGATCGGCGACGGTCGTGAGCAGAGACACGCTCGGGGTACCCACTGTGGATGGCCTAAGGGGGTGTTTGGGAGAGCGGGGCTAAAAACCATAAGTCCTTAGCAACTTTAGCCCCTCTCTCAAAAACATAAGTCCCGGGGCTAAAGTTTAGTCCCTCTCTCCCAAACACCCCCTAAGATTTTGAGAAGCTTATAAGAATCTGGAAAAGTTGGGTTTCTCAGCTTCTGATTTCTAGTTTATTTTATGAATTTTACAACTACAACTTCTTATAATCTGAATAAAAAGCTAGACTGTTTACTGGAGGTCTTAATTCTGAGGGAACCTACAGCAGTTAAAAGCTTCCCAAAGTCTTAATTCTGAGAGAATTTATAGCAGTTAAAAGCTGTCCAAATACTCCCTCCGTCCAAAAAAAAAGGCAAACCTTAGGTTTCCGTGTCTAACTTTGACTGTCCGTCTTATATAAAATTTTTTTATAATTCGTATTTTTATTGTTGTTAGATGATAAAACATAATTAATATTTTATGCGTGACTTGTCTTTTTAATTTTTTTCATAATTTTTTTAAATAAGACGAATGGTTATGTTGGACACGAAAATCAGGGTTTGTCTTTTTTTGAGAGGGAGGGAGTGGACCCGTAGAGACCAGCGAGGCAGGTGGACTGGATACTGGTAGGAGGAGTAGCACGTGAATTGATGGTGGCATTGGCAAAGCCGGCGGAGGTGCAAGCTACACGCGACGCGACGCGGTTGCTTTGGCTTGGCTGGCTGGGCTGGTGGCAAATTGCATTGCATTGCCGGCGTGGGGGCACGCCTGCTTCCCTCGATTTGGGCCCCCGTCCCGTCCGGTTTTCCCTGCCAATTAAAGCGCGGCATGCCACGGCCTACGAGCAAGTTTAACAGTATAGCTAACTATGAGCTCTAAATCATCTATTATTAATCTAATAGCTCATTTATGTGATAGTTATCTATATAAGGACACCCACAATGGTTATCTATAGGCTCTCTACAAGAGATCCATGTCAGCATATTTTCCTACTTGAAAGATATTAAATAAAAAGATAGAGTAAAGCTATCTACTAACTTAGAGATAGTCTATAGAGAAAAATGAGGCAATGCATGAGAGAGTTATAGATACCTATATAGACATATTATTAAGGTGGTTTACTATTAATCTAGTCTATTGCTGAGATGTACATGTTTTATAGAGAGCACCTTACTTTACCATTGCGGGTGCTCTAAGCATATATTACACCGTTAATTTATGTTCTCATCTCTCATACACATAAACGTATTATATTGGAGTTCGTGCTGCAGCTGACTATAAATCTATAGCCGGTTTTGTTTCTCTCTTCCCTTCTCTTCTCTCCTCTCCTCCATACATGCTTATAGCTGACTTATAGTCTCCTATTGTATTCGCTCTTTTATTACTACCACCGATTGTCACCACCACAATTACTCCTCCTACCACCACTAGTCCAGTACTCCCTCCGTCTAAAAAAAAGAAGACAAACTTTGATTTCCGTGCCCAACGTTTGACCGTCCGTATTATTTGAAAAAAATATAAAAAAAATAAAAAGACAAGTCACGTATAAAATATTAATCATGTTTAATCATCTAACAACAATAAAAATACGAATTATAAAAAATATCATATAAGACGGACAGTTAAAATAGGATACGGAAATCTAAGGTTTGATTTTTTTTTCTTTACGGAGGGAGTACTAGGAGTACTCCTCCTCCTGCTAGTCCCCAATGCATAAGAGTAGGGTGATGAGTATGAACAGTTGCGATGGAGATGCCGACTGCGGAGAGCAGTACGCTCCCGAGCAGCGAGGAGTAGCATCGTACGCGGGGTAGCGTAGCACCTCGCGTTTCCCGAAAGCATAGCATAGGGCGTGGCAGCGTTTTGGTGGAGTGTTTTGGGTGGGTACGGGGTTGTGATGAGCTACGCGGGCGACGCGCGGAGGACGGCTGAGACTTGACCACACGGGAGCAGCTGCAGAGCGCGCAGAGGTGCGCAGTGCCCAGCCAGCCCCGCCTCGTACGTATACTCCGTACTACCTGGACATAGGAGTAATTAAAGTGCTTTGATTAACGTGGCAGTAAGTGCATTGATTAAGGGTGAGTTGTTTGGTTCGTCCGATAGGATGATGCAGTTGTTTCTTACAGTAAGTTGGATGGATGAGGGTAGGGGTGAAAACAGGACGGAAACTTTCGGATTCCAGACCTATTTTTGAAAACTGAATCTGTTGGTCGGAGTTTTTTTTTGAAATGGAAACGTATTCGGAAATATTTTCTCGAAAACGGAATCAAAAATGATAAGGGCATTTTCCGTCGGAACTCGGAATCGGTCGGAAACTTTTCGGAAATTTTCTCGGAATTACTGAAAATTTTGTGACTGAAATATCCTGAATTCTTTTTTAAGCACTAAATAGTCTATACCATAGTGTTTGGCTGTTATTTTTTTAAAAAATATTTGTTATGCAAATCTAAAATTACATAAGAATATTTTTCTTCCTACATTGGGATTTATCAACAACATTACTCTTTTAAACAATTGGATTTATCAGTTTGAGTTTTTTTTATTCCGATAAATTTTCGTTGTAGTATTCGCACCGGTCCATTTTCATTTCGATAATATTCGATTCCGTTTTCGTATCCAGAGTTTCCGATTCCGATTCTGATTCCAAAAAAAAAATGAAAACGAAAACGATAAAGATGGTTTCCGTCCGTTTCCGTACCGTTTTCACCACTAGATAGGGGTGAATAAATTAGTTTAATTAATAACAAAATATGTTAATTGTCAATATAATAGACTAAATATAAGCCAATTTTGAAGGATGGTCTTTTCAAACATCTTCGTGAGATATTCAAATGTGAATGGTCATATCTTACTTTCGCCCATGAACCAACATAGGCCGTGTTTAGTTGTAAAATTTTTCTTCAAACTTTCAACTTTTCTATCACATCAAAGCTTTTCTACACACACTTCCAACTTTTCCGTCACATCGTTCCAATTTCAACCAAACTTCTAATTTTGATGTGAACTAAACACGGCCATAGAAAACATGACGACCAAGGCGAGGTTAGTTTATGGTCACATTTGGCCACACCACAGTTTATTAGGCATGTGTTTGGTTCACTGCCACGGTTATGGCTTACCACACTTTTTCAATTAGCACGCCTCACACGTTGTGGACTCAATTTTCTTAATTCTTATCAACTTTGCTTGTGGTTAGCAATTTGTCCATCACACTTTTCTGGCTGTCACAACTCACATAACCTCAGTTGTGGTAAAGTGTGGACAGCAACCAAACAAACCCAAAATCTCATCCATTCGAATCCCATGAACCAACACACTCTAAGCATCATCCAGCTCTTACAGTTGTATTGGAGATAATAACCCTAAGTGTCACTCGACTCTCACAGTTGAACTAGACATAAGAAGTGCTCATGATTTGAAACACGGCTGAAAAAACGTGGAAGAACAAGCAAAGCAACAAAAAAAATTTATGGATATATAACTTCTATATTTTAAGATCTTATGTTAAAAGATACTCCCTCCGTTTCGAAATGTTTGACGCCGTTGACTTTTTATCACATGTTTGACCATTCGTCTTATTCAAAAAATTTAAGTAATTATTAATTCTTTTCCTATCATTTGATTCATTGTTAAATATATTTTTATGTAGACATATAATTTTACATATCTCACAAAAGTTTTTGAATAAAACGAACGGTCAAATATGTGCTAAAAAATCAATGGTATCAAACATTTCGAAACGGAGGGAGTATATTACAATGAAAACCTTTAAAATTAAGTTGCGAAATTTAAATCTTATATGTGCTTGAAACTTAAGAATTCCTTTTTTTTGTTCAAATATATTTTTTTTTCAAAAAGGAAGGGAAACGAAAAGATGATCTGATGAGAATCCGAGATGCGATGTTGACCGGCAACCCCGGTCTCGCTCTCTGGCTTGTTCGTTGCGCTCGTACGAGTGGGGTGCAACGCTGGTTGGCTTCCTGTTCGTGAGCGGCCACGGTGCGGTGGTGTAATCACAATCACTCTCACTGCTATCACACGCAGGGTGCCTCTCGATCCTCCACCGGTGCGCACCGCGGCGGCACCATGTCATATCAGGCATATACTCCCTTCGTCCTAAAAAATGCCCAGTCCTTCAAACCAATAATTATTATTTTTTTTACGGAGGGAGTAGCGGCTTTGGGTTTCGGTGGGTTTGTGAGCCTTGTGTTGTCACAATTTCACGTGAGCTTCTGTGAAAAACCCTGTAAAATAGAAGCACTACAGCGTCGGCGTTTCAAACAGGGAACTCGGTTGTTAATCACCTTGGCATTGGACATTTGGGGCTCATCTTTTCGTTTATATTTATACTTATCAACTAAAATTTAAATTTTCAACCTTAAATTTAAAGCCAATATTAGGGTTTTTTCATCAAAATTTATTTTTCAGCCTTTGCTTTTAGGTCGTCAAGAACACGTACAATACCAAGGAGATCTCATTGACGGTGCCATATCATACACGATGGGACAGCCACGCCTCGCTTTTTACCGATACAACTACTACCCATAGAACATCGGAACGTGGCACATGCAGGAGGCACCGAATGATTGATCCGATGCACATATGGAGGCCCCCAAACATGAAACACCACTCGATCGATCGATCGATCAAGCTGAATGCCAGATCAGCAATGCACAAAGACAAAGTCGAGCATGCATGTGAACGTGTAGCAGTAAACACCGCACAACAGTTGATCAGGGCACCACCAACCCAGACAGCAACCAGGCCAAAGATCAATTAGTGGAGGCAAGGCAAGGCATACAGTAGTAAATAGTTGGACATTCTACATCAAGATGTTCCATCCTTGGATTGGAGGTGTCAAACGAAAACGAAAGCTGATTAAACAACAGCATCTCAAAGCCTACTAGAGGTTACTAACTGAATATATGATCAATCCAACCAAGCTATCCAAAGACGCAACAGAAACAGAATAGGGAAGTTGGCCAGGTCCTTATGTGGCTGGGCACGAGTCATCATCATTGTCATGGAGATAATTGTCATCACAGTATATGCTTTCTGCCATCTCCCAGATCTGCAGGATGTTATCCTCGGCCACGCTGGCCATGACCCATTTCTGGGTGGGGTTCCACGACAACTCTGATATCTTGGCTGTGTGGCCTCCATGCACGAACAGCAGCTCCGGTGGACCATCGTTTGCATCCTCCTCTGCCTGCTCGTCTCCGATCCTGAAAGGTAGAACACACAGGGCAGTGAGAACCAGCAAAGGCGCAGCAGACGCAGATCTAAAAGCAAATGTGTCGCCACTCGCCAGTGAGAATGCAGGCTTTAGTTTCAGTTGGGCAGGAATCTATCAATCTATCATGTCAGTGGGACATACAAAGCATGACAAACAATGGGGATTCTAATTTTGTGAATGCAGGTACAATGTTAGCAAATCACCCGAACTAGTAAAGCTAAACTCTAAAGATAAAGCTCCCAAAGGTAATTCACATAGTACTGAATAGCTAGATGTGTAGCTTTTAACTAGGAGTAATTGTATACGTGTGTAACCATTTATACTGCTAAAGACTCCTTCCGAATGCAGGAATTTTACAGGATTTTCACAGGAAACAGTTCAATTCCTTCAAAATTCCCATGAATTTCCTCCAAACCAAATAGGTCCTAAAGGTCATTGAAGCTATTGTCTTGAGTAATTCCTTTTTCTGTTTCAGTTAGTATAACGTAAAATACTAACTGCAAATATAAGGTTGAAGTAGATCATAGGAGACTAGTCGACTAAATTTACCTGCTAACATCCCATATCATCACCCTTTTGTCTGCAGCTGAGGATGCTAACACAGTCTCCAAATTAGGATTCCACTCAACCTGAAAAACCTCTCCCCTACAGGAGCTAACATGCAACAGAAAAATGTCATTTGCATATCAGAAAATCAATTAGGTTGCATAACTCAGTTAGACCGGAGAACCACATGTAGTGTAACTGACAAACTGTTTGCTAGTATGCCATGTTGATTAGTAATAACTTTCCTGACAAACTTGAAAGTAAAGGAGTAGCTTAGCTCAAAAGTTCTTGCCTTTAGCAAAGAATTATTCAGCTCTCCTATATCCTTATACAGGTAGCAAAATCAGCGAGATAAGTAGTGTGCTTTTGTGTTTTACGGGAACACTGTCACTGGCCTCATTCATATCAACCAGATGCTTATGATTTTCTAACACATGGGTTCAAATGGCACAGATGATATAATAACAACTACTGTAACAGTACGAGTAAAATAGCACTTCCTGCGAGTATCGCAATGTAATGAGCACATAAGAAAAAAAATCATTTTTATGTAAATGATCAAGATGTTCTTGGACGATTTGGTTATTTGCATGCCTCAAGTCTCAAGTGTAACAACACATTACCATACACTACTGCACAGCAGCAGAGATGGGGGACTGGTCAGGGCACGATAATGTAGAGAAAAAAGAAAAAGAAAAAGGGAATGACTGAAGGACGGAGGCTACAGCAAGAAATCATACTCATGGCTGTCGAATACATGCAGGCTTCTTGACAGTTTTCGCAAGTCAAATAGCTTAATAGTTGCATCTCCAGATGCTGAAGCCAAGATCCACTCATTAAACGGATTGAAGGACAAAGAGTTTACCTGAGAAAGCAATAATGTGTATTATGAACAGCACGACAGTTTTATAAGAGTAAACCATAAAGCTCAGCACAAACATCAGTATAGCTTGTACTACAGTGAAGAGAAAAATATTGCTGAACCTTATGTGTGATTTATATTGCAGTACTATATAGATAATAAATCATGAAGCAGACAGATAGAAGGAGCTAAACCTGCATAAAACAGGCATCATAGGCCACTCCAATGTACATAAAGGAAAAGCCAAGGTCAATGAAAATGAAAAGAGGAATATGCTTTTACAAGCTATAGCCTATATGATGTGCTGAGCAGCACAGAAAATGATTAGTTCAGCAACTCATGATTAAATCATGCTTACTTCTTTTTGGTGTGCTACTATAGATTGTCCTGGTTTATTAGTACGCAAGTCCCACATCATCAGCTTGCAGTCATCCCCAGCAGATCCAAATAGGTTTTCATCTTTCAGGTGCCATGCAACATCTTCAACAACATCGTCATGAGCCTGCAAAAAGCGTGACTATGATATATGTCACTCTGAAAAGGAAACAGGATAGCAGTGGCACGAACTATATATTTGACATCTTTGTTATGCTTGCTGCCACAATACAGTGGAATTCTTCTGTTGGACCAAATGAAACAACCCTCACACAAGTCCTAACTTAGATTTCCATCAAAATATTTTTGGACAAATGATCTGACTAAAGCACTTACGGTTAAACCAGTGAAATAAGAAAGCAATCAATAACACAAAGTGGCTGATAAAATTATAATATAAAAGATCACAAGGTCCGTAAAATGGTTGTAGAGAACTGTTAGCAGATTGGAAAGAGGAATTATACAACATTGTTACATGAACTGCTGCATATTCAATATTGCTTTTACGTGCGTACAAGAATTGCTCGACTAGCTTGCTAGGTGCTAGCCATTCCTTGCATGCCAAAACAGATACTGATTGTTCTGGAAAACAAGAGCTAATTTACTATCCTCCAGAGTATTGCAAAGTAGAGGTATCTCCTAGTTTTAATACCTCCAAAGGTCATAAAAAAACTCTTTCCACAATTACATTTAAAACATCCCAATTTCATGATGTTTGCTAATCAGCTCAGGTGCCTTCTAGAACGCTCACATAAAAAAAACTCAGTGATCTGTTTATGCATAATAGAATTGTTCCTCACACCAAGAGATGATTGTTTGTGCTTAAAATGCAGCTATGGAAATGGAACCATGTTCTCTTCTCGACTAGTTATTCAATTGCTGTGTCCTTTCTCCTACGCAGTGCAATTATCTACTCTGGAATTGTGCAGTTATTTCAGTTATAATGATTCTCTTCCAACATTTAGGAAAGACCAGAAACAGTTCAATTTCATTATTTCAATATTGTTTACTAAGAGATCTGGCAGATCAAAATTTGTTTACTGAAAAAAAAAAGGGGAAGAAACAATCGAAGCATCCTTACTAAATGAATTGGATTATGAATTACGAATCATTGCTCAACTGCATCGTATAATGTAACATTTAACGACTGTAAATGTTTACTGCAAAATGGAATGAGGGGAGGGGGGCATTTGACGGCGCATTACCTCGAACACATGATGTGCATCCAGAGACGAAGCTCCACTCCCAGCAGCGAGATCCCAAAGGCAAATCTTCTTATCATACGAGCCGCTCAGCAGCAACCCCTCCTTCATCGGACTCCACGCCAGCCCATACCCCTCCGCTTCATGCCCCCTGAGCACCACATCGGCGCCGCCCTTCTCGCCGCCGTCGCCAAGATGGTACACGTGCACCTCATCCACGCAGGTCTTGGTAGCCACCGTGTACGGCCTCTGCGGCATGCAGCGGGCGCGGTTGACCTCGCCCTTGTGCGGCACCGAGCGGGAGATGGACACGGACGGGGCCGGGACGGCACCGCCCGCCGCCGCGGCCGCCGCCGCCAGGCGGGGCGGGAGCGGGAGGGCGGCGTCGGCGAGTAGGAGGTGGTTGGGCGTCTCGTCGGAGGTGTGGGTGCCGAGGACGAGGCGGTGGGAGCGGGCGGAGCCCGGCGACCGGGAGTGGGAGGGGAGCCACTGGACGGTGAGCGACGGCCACTCGAGCGGCTGGGAGATGACGAGGTCGTAGAGCACCGGCGCGTTCTTCTTCCAGTTCTGGTGCTCCTCCATCTCCGCCGCCGACGACCTCGCCGCCGTGGAGGACCCGCCGTCCATGGCTCTTCTCTTGCGAATTGCGCGGGAAGTGGAGGCGGCGCTGTGGTGCTCTCCCGCCAAAAAGATTGGGGAGACGATGCGGCGGAGTCAGAAGAGATGGTGTTTTATGGCCGAGTTAATGGGCTTTTATGGGCCGTAAAGCCCATATAATACAATTTGGAGGCCCATTAGCCCATTAAGAGGAAATTTTGTCTAGTAGCTTCTGCCTCGCGTCCGTCTCCTGCATCCGCAGTCGCCGCCGCCGCCGCCGCGATGATGCAGTCGCACCACCCCTCGCCGGCGCGGCTGGGGCTGACGGCCTCGTCGCCGTCGCTCCCGCCCAACCCGGCTGCGGGGAATCCCACCTCCTCGCCGCCGCAGGGCAACCCTAGCGCGGCGGCGGCCGTGGGCGCTGCCGCTGCCGCTGCACCAACCCTAACTACATCGCCGTCGCTGCTGCCGCTCCTGCCGCCGCTCCCGCGGGCGCAGGCGCTCCTCCAGCTGATCTCCGCGCTCGCCTCCAACCTCTTCGAGCTCTCGCCGAGCCGCGCCGCGTGGATCTCGGCGTACCGGGGGTCACTCCCCACTTTCCTCCCCTCGCCGTCCTCCGCGCCGCCGCCGCCGCTCCCGGCCCCGATCTCCTCCACCAAGGAGGCGCTGTCGCTGCTCAACACGCTCCAGACCCAGCTCTTCGAGGCCGTCGCCGAGCTGCAGGAGACCCTCGACCTGCAGGACGCGCGCGCGCGCCTCGCCCGCGAGGCGCGCGCCAAGGACGCCTCGATCCTCGCCTTCGCCAAGAAGCTCCGCGAGGCGCACCACGTGCTCGACCGCCTCGTCGACGACTACGCCGACTACCGCCGCGACCCCAAGCGCCCGCGCGGCGCCGCGGCGGCGGACGACCCCGAGCCGGTGTCAGACGGCGACTTTGGCGCGTCGCTGCACTCCAAGCTCAACCTGGACGACGTCCTGACGTACGCCCACCGCATAAGCTACACGACCTTCGCGCCGCCTGAGCATGGTGCTGGGCTGCCTCTGCGTGGGGCGTTGCCGCCTGCTCCTCAGGAAAATGAGATGAGGATGTCGCAGCTGTATCAATTTGCGGATTTGGATGTTGGAGTGCCGAAATCCCAGGAAGCAAAGGAGAGGACTGCAGCAGAGGGAGATGCCACTCCGCTTTTTCAGCCTTCACCAACCCAGGAGGCAGCTGTGCTACCAATCACTGTGCCGCATCCGCATGGGTGGCGGAACGGGGCGCTGCCTCTCGAAATCCCGTTGCCGCCGCCTGGATGGAAACCCGGGGACCCGATCACTCTACCGCCGGATGGCATTCTGGCTGGTGTCAAGGGTGAGGAGCCACGGGCCAGTGTGCAACAGATGCCGGTTGTGGTGCCAGCAATGGTGCCGAAGGCACAAGAACCGATACAGGTTCGGCATGTTGATCTTGACATTAACAATAGTTCTAGCAGTGATGAGTACAGTAGCGACGTCGGGAGCTCTGAAGAAGATGATGAGGATTAGTTCCTTGGTAAGCTATTTTATGATTCATGTTTCCATGCCGTTGTAGGTCATGTACTAGTAAGAACAAATAATGCAAGCTCTCATACATGATTATTCAAGATCATGCAGCAATATACTGGTATTGAATAGAATTGGGTGGCGTATCATGTATGTGTTGATTAATTAAACCATCTCACTAGTCAATTTGCTTCGATATATGTAATCAAGCATGATGGTCTAATTTCCTCAGGATGTGCTGGTGTTGTATCGTCAGAAACATGGCTTCTTTTATGGATATTTAAACTTGAACATGGTGTGTTTAATGTTTGATGCCCTTCTTCACAGATTACAGGTTTCAGTCATAATTGCTTGCTAGGCTTGCTAGCTGGTTATGGGCTTTTCAATCAAGTAATGACTTCCATGTTCATGCACTCTGCTTAATTTTTCTCATTGTTTTACCTTATGTCTGTACCTCTTATTGCTGCAATATAGTTTGAAAACCTTTATACCATTGTACCAAAGAGTGGTAGCTGAAAACTCAAGAATGTTCTATAACTCAAGCTATATAAGTTATGAGAAGGGAGTGGTTTCAACTTGTAAGTTTGCACTTAAATGAACACACCATTTTTCCTATCTTATTGCACAGCATGGGGGATCTTCCTACTACAAACATGATACTAGTACTATAGGTCTTAGTTTTCATTCACGAGCTTATCTTGCAGATGATAAAGTAGTAATTGACTCAAATGGGTTAGAACTGCCAAAGCATCATCAGAAGTAACTCCTTTTATAATTTTATTGGTGCATATCGCATCTTTATGTACTTTTTTTTCCCAATTCAAGAGCTGCATGGTTATCAAAGCGGTCTCATCGTAATTTCAGTAGCCTTAGCAGGGTTTCCATCATAAAATATTCAATAGACATTGATCAGTTCTCTTTTGGGTATTAAGATATCATGTGACTTTGGATTTATACTTATATACAAGGGATGTAAAATTTTTACTAATTTGCTGCCTCATCCTGGTGTTCTGGTGTTGAATGAAATATGTAGTCGCCTTCCAGATTTTTAAGCTACTGGTGCCCGTGACAGCGCCCTACTCATATTTCTTCCTTAGTCTTTGGATGCTGGCCAAAAGCAAATGGCTCTGGTTCATGAAATCTGAATTATATGGTGGCCAGCAGTAAGCCAAGTAGGGAAGGGTTCGTATTTTCTTAAAAGTTTGTGTCCAGGTTTGTGAATAAATATAACTGAAACAGTGGTTGTCGAGTTGTTTCTCTTATTTAAAGTACTGCATCTTGTTTTGAAACGGTATTTGGTTGCTGATGTTCGACATGAGACTGTTAGGTGTGTTGTCAAGAGTACATTATGGATTTGTGGAATGTGTAAAGGAGTTGATACATCATTCTCATTATTATCTTTGCTCTCAACTTCTTTTACTGGCATGCATAGGTTTTTTTCTGGGGATGGGTTATGTTAATTTCCTGCCAGTGGATAATTTTGCTCATCTCTACCCAGCAGGTTGAACATTATGGACAAGTATGTATGAAAATACAAACCTACAACCTTCCATTCCATGTAGTACTACTGAAGGGAGCATGTCACAGACTCACAGTAGGTTGTGTGAGTTGAAGTCCATCGGATGAGCTGTTAGTCCAATCAGAATCTGTTTTTGGCTATCTAATCCTCATTCATCTACCAAGTTGCTTGTGGGTTGTGGTCCATCTTTGAGGATCCTTTAACTTACTTCCCTATGATTTTGAGTTACGGGGGTCTGCTGGTTAGAGGGAAGTAAGTTAGATAATCTTTGCATGGAAGAGGATCCTCTAACTTACTTCCATTTAGCTAGCAGGCCCACAAATTAGAGGGAAGTAAGTTAGAGTATCTCAATCCATCTTTCATAGCTTGTTTCACTGTTGGTCCATCACTGCATCTTATTCACCAGAATATTTGAAACATATTATCTGCTCTATGCTTAGAAAAATGTATTTTCTTAAAAGACTTTTCTTCTATCAGTAAACTATTTGTAAATTTTATTTTTTTTAAAAAAATAATAATTTATCACTGTAATTGAGTAGGTAATCTACGGTAATAATTCACTAAGTAATCTAAATCAAACTGGACCTTAACTATGAAGTTCTGTAGACTAACCTGCTCGCCATGCTTCCATCTGCACGTAGATTATAGCTGTTGGATGCAGCTCTCAACACTGATAGATGATCAGACCAGGTTAGTGGCTGGTGTTCATCGGATGCGACCAGATTGCCAGAAAATCTCCATGATTCTTTGCCGACGATCACTTGTCGTATCCGATCTACTAGCCTATCATGCATGCACAGACGAAAAAGGCATCTTACTTACTCCAATGATGAATCGTTGGCGATAAAACTCTCGAAAAATGCCAAGAATCTAGCTCCATCCTAATTAGTGGCGATAAAATCACAAAAAATTCCAAGAACGCTACAGATGATAGTGGTCACTGCCTCACTGGCTAGCTGCCGGTGGTGACCATGGAGCATGGGAGTGTCAAGCTGCTGCTGCTGGTGGTGTTCTGTGTCTCGCCATGGCAGGTCGCCGCGACGACGACGGCGAATGGTACGGGCGGCGGCGGGAGGCCGCGGGTGCCGGCCGTCCTGGTGTTCGGCGACTCCATCGTCGACACCGGCAACAACAACGCCGTGCTGACGCTCACCCGGTCCAACTTCAGGCCCTACGGCAAGGACCTCAACGGCGGCGAACCCACCGGCCGCTTCTCCAACGGCCGCATCCCGCCGGACTTCCTAGGTCAGCCTATCCGTCTCCATGGTCGCCGGAGTTTCATCTCGTCATTTGAGTCGTCGTCCATGGCTGCATATTGATCTTGCGCAGCGTCACGGCTTGGCTTGAAAGACCTGGTTCCGGCCTACCTCGGCACCGACCTCACCGACGGCGACCTCCTCACCGGCGTCAGCTTCGCCTCCGCCGGCAGCGGCTACGACCCGCTCACCTCCACTCTCGTGGTAATGTAACGTCTCAAACACATCTCTCCATTGATCGCCATTGGATTTTTTTCTCGAACGCGCAAAAAAATTGTATGTCAATACAATATATTAGAAGAAAAGAATAATTGTTACACAACACATTAAGTCAGACCGACTCATGCCAAGAGAGGAGGGGAACAGAAAACCAAAGGAAAAAAAAAAGACTCGGATACTACGACTCCAAACAGCGGGAATGGGGCGATCGCCATTGGAATGCAAGATGCTGTGTAGTTTAATGCTCGATGGTTTCGTTTCAGGCGGTTCTGCCGATGCAGGAGCAGCTGAACATGTTCGCCGAGTACAAGGAGAAGCTCGCTGGGATCGCCGGCGAGGCCGCCGCCGCGAGGATCGTGTCGGAGAGCCTGTTCCTCGTCTGCGCCGGCTCCGACGACATCGCCAACAACTACTACCTCGCCCCCGTCAGGCCACTCCAGTTCGACATCTCATCCTACGTCGATTTCCTCGCCAATCTAGCCTCTGATTTCGTCAAGGTGATGGATCTTGCAACCAAAAATTCTCACCCAATCTGAAGCCTCATCTCCAATTCAGAACCTGTTCATGTTCAGTTTGTTCGTTCTTGCTGATGTTGGTAGTGGTACACAGCAACTTCACCGGCAAGGGGCGAGGAGGATCGCCGTCCTGGGGATGCCGCCGATCGGGTGCGTGCCGTCGCAGCGGCGGAGCGTCGCCGTCGACGCCGCGGGCGGCGGAAGGGAGTGCGACGCGGCCCAAAACCGCGCGGCGCGGCTGTTCAACGCCAAGCTGGAGCAGGAGATCGGCTGCCTTCGCGAGACGCTGCAGCTGCAGAGCATCGGCTACGTCGACATCTACGGCGTCCTGGACGACATGATCGCCGACCCCGGCAAATACGGTGACCCAGATTCGATCGATTCGTTGTTTTGCTTCAAGAACACATTGTCGAATTCATCGATTCGTTAGCTCTCGATCGATCGATCGCCTGAGAAGATGCTCGTTGTTGCTGCTGCCTGTGCAGGATTTGATGTGTCGACGAGAGGATGCTGCGGCACCGGAGAGTTCGAGGTGACGCTTCTCTGCAACCAGCTGACGGCGACGACGTGCGCCGATGACCGGAAGTTTGTCTTCTGGGACAGCTTCCATCCTACTGAGAGAGCTTACAGCATAATGGTGGATTATCTGTACCAAAGATACGTGGATAAGCTACTCTAAGGTTTTGCTACTTACACTATTTATTACTACTTGGTTATCAACCGAGAACACAATCTCGTGCTGTAAAAATTAGGAGGGTAATTATGCAACCTTAGCACAGTTCCAGCACAATGTCACATGGAAAACTACCAAGAGATGTGAGACCCTTTTGTTCTGATAATGGAATTATGAAAGTAAAACTTCTTACATCTACATCAGCTACAGATGCATAATCAGAATAATCGTCTCATTAGCTTTTATAAAACATGTAAGAAATCAAGGAGCTAGCTACTTACTCCACTGTTAAAAAAAACAAACTTCTAACCTTAAAACTGGATAATCAGGAGTTGGTTTTTTTAGATGGAGTCAGGGCGGGCCCAGCTATAATTCAAGAGTATTCAGATGTATACCCAAATTTTTTTTAAAAAAAACTATATATATATACTCTGTATTTCGTATTTGTATTCACAAAAATAAAAAAGAAGCCTTAATCAGCCCAATAAGCAATCGAACTACTCTTTTTCGGCCTGCTTCATCCTCCATCCTCTATTGGCAGAAAAAGTACACCAAAGGTCCCTCAAGTCATCGTTGGAGACTTGGAGTGAAGTTATGAAGCATCTTATAGCTGAGTTTGGTGGTGCCATTTTTCATCACTGCTACACGTACTAAATTTTTCTTACTAATTTTTTACTAACAATCATCTCAACTATTTGATTTAAGTAGATGAAAGTTATAAAAAAATCTAGATGCACTCATAGCATGACACATCAGCGTTAGTAAGAATTTAGTAAGAAAAAAGTTAGTATGTATAGCCTTTTCCTTTTTTATTCTCACTTCTCTCATTTTTCGCATACATATTTTTTAAACTGTTAAACGTTTTCGCAGAATAAATATATAGAAAAACACTTCGGTTAATCACTTGAGCCCTGAGACATGTTCGGTGCCATTACTTTAAAAATCATATTAATCCATTGTTTAAGTTAACACGTAATTGATTATGTGTTGATGAGTTGTTCCTTTTTATTGCCGGAAAGGAAGGTTCCAATCTTCACAATCAAACATAGTTTAAACCTGATTCTATCTTTTTTACTTCATTTTGAGAGAGTATATTAGTCCGCTCCACTTTTGTTTTTTAAGCTGAAATCGTTTTCGTTAGACTTCAGCTTTAGGTTGTAGCTCTACCAAATAGAATTAGGATGATATGGATCTAAGCTATAACATTGCCACGGGCAAATATGGATCTAAGCCGTGGGAGACGATGACGAGGTGGGTCATCGTCTTCTTCACCTCATCGACAAGTTCTTCAGCTCTCACTATGCACCTCCATCTCCAGTACCGGAGAGCAGGGGCGGAGCCACCGTCCGGCTTGCACGGGCAGCCGCCCGGGCTCACCAGCAAATACACCATTGAATTTTTATTATTTTGAAAGGATTAAAGTTAGAAATATTGTAGCAAATACTACTAGATATATTTGTGTATGTTTGGGCTTAAAAAATTTCCTAGCTCCGCGCTTCCGGAGAGTATGGCCATATGTCGCCGGAGCGAGGGGGGGACGCTTCGCCGGAGGTCAACGTCGGCACGTCCCAGCTGACGAGCCGGCTGGGCGCGCGTCGGTGCACGCCGGGGCCGGGCTGGTCAACTGACGTCCACTTATAATAATGTAAACATCTGGTTTCACTTCACCATTAGTTCGTACTATAAGCGAACATTTCGTACTAATCCATCACTGTAGCTAGCGAACAAAGAGGAAAAAAATTCAAAAGTTACACGTAGTCCTGTTGATTGAATGTCACAAGGATATTTCCCTCGGAACAAAAGAGCCAGAAAAGGAAGATACAAGGATATACAACTTCAATGTCAACCCTTCCTTGTAAAGATTATTACGCAAACTGTACAAATCTCCCACTGTCACAGTAACCCACTAGCTAAGGCAATTGCCACTTTCATTTTTCTTTACTGTTTCTCTTTGTTCCGTCCTGCCAAATGTCCATCTTCTCTTTATCTAGTCATGGTCAGCTTGACTGAAACACTCTTCTGAATTCACAGTTCCAGCTCAGACTGTTGTCACCTGCTCCCTCTGTCCCAAAAAAAAGACAAACCCTAGGTTTCCGTGCCAACGTTTGACTGTCCATCTTATATGAATTTTTTTTATAATTAGTATTTTTATTGTTGTTAGATGATAAAACATGATTAATACTTTATACGTGACTTATTTTTTATATTTTTTTTATAATTTTTTTAAATAAGACGGATGGTCAAACGTTGGACACGGAAGCCAGGGTTTGTCTTTTTTTTTTTTTTATGGAGGGAGTATAACGTGGTGAACAAGGACATGAAGAAAAGAAATGAGCATACGGCATGCCAAAGTCTATGAGCTGGTGATATGAAGATGTAACACCCGCTGGTGCATGATGTATTTTTCTCGGAATCAACTCCTTTGACATAGTAAAGGTCAATGAGTCTCTAATGGCTAGGGCCCACGTACACGTCGTCCTATGACGTAAGTACGTAGAGCCTCGTCGATTTTTTTTTCTCTCTTCTCAAAACTAAGGCTCTATTTTAACTTCCCGCAAAAACTTTTCACCATGTCACATCGAATGTTTGGATATATATATAAAGTATTAAATATAGAAAAAAAACTAATTATACAAATTGTGAAATAAATCTTTTAAATCTAATTGCTTCATAATTTAATAATGTGGTGTTATAGTAAACATTTGCTAATGATGGATTAATTAGGTTTAATAAATTCATCTCGCAGTTTACTAGCAGAATCTGTAATTTATTTTATTATTAACCTAGTGTGACCCTGATCTAAACAGCGCCTAAGAAGGGATGTGTCTGTCGTGGTTGCTTTTGCTATCTTCCATGCTCAACCGGCTTTGCCATCTTCAGAACAAATTAATCTTCAAAATCAAGGGGCACCTTTAGCAACTGGCAGTGAAAACTGTTTTCTTTTAATTCAGTTGTCTGAAAGTGTAGAGATTTTTTCTTCTTAAAAATGACAGCATAAATAGATTGCATGCCATCAACAGCCGCAAGCTCGTGAACACGCGAGATCATCTTTCGCCAAGAGATGGTTGTAGCAACTGCAAGCGTGCGCGAAGATATCGACGCCGCCATGGATAATGACGGACAACTCCTTGGTCGCATGGAGCAAGGGATCAGCGACCTGTGGGCATCACCGGCTGCTCGCGGCGACGGCGGCGGCGACGACGAGGCCTTCACCATCGTGCGCCTGCCGTCCCACGTCCACGCGCAGAACAAGAGCCTGTACGAGCCGCGCGTGGTGTCCGTCGGCCCGTACGACCTCGGCAGCGGCAGCACCCGCGCCATGCAGGGCCACAAGTGGCGGTTCCTCCGCGATTTCCTCCTCCAGAACGCCGGCGACGGCGGCGGCGGCGGCGGCGGCGGTGGCCACCTGGACGCATGCCTGCGCGAGGCACGCGCGGTGGAGGCGCGGGCGCGGCGCTGCTACGGCGAGCCACTGGAGATGGGGAGCGACGAGTTCGTGCAGATGGTGGTGCTCGACGGCTGCTTCGTCCTCGAGTTCCTGCTCAAGTGGAGCGAGAGCGAGAGCGGCGCGGCGGAGCTCGACGCGTACATCCGGTGGATATGGATCTACGTCTACTACGACCTCCTCCTCGTGGAGAACCAGATCCCGTTCTTCGTCGTCGCCAAGCTGTTCAACCTCGCCGGCGGTGGCGGCGGTGCGGCAGCCATGGGAGACGACGACGACGACGCAGTGGACCAGCGTCTTCTTGACCTCATCTACAAGTTCTTCAGCCTGCACGAGCCGCTCTGCCAGGTGCCGGCGCCGAGCCAGCTCACCGTGCACCACCTGCTCCATCTCCAGTACCAGAGGATGGTCATGCCGCCGGAGCGGAGGTCGACGACGTCGCGGCTGTCGAGCCGGCAGAGCGCGAGCCCGTGCAACAAGTACAGCATCGCCGGCGGCGCGACGGCGGCGACGCCGCTGGCGATCCCGTGCGTGACGGAGCTGCAGGAGTTCGGGGTGGCGTTCCGGGAGAAGGCGTCGCCGGTGAGCCAGTTCGACGTGACGTTCCGCGGCGGGACGATGGAGATCCCGCGGCTGGCGCTGAGCTCCGGCGCGAGGATCCTCCTGGCGAACCTGCTGGCGCTGGAGCAGACGACGGGGGACTGGGAGGGGGAAGGCATCGTGACCAGCTACCTGGTGCTGATGAACGCGCTGGTGAACACGGGCGCCGACGTCGCGGTGCTCCAGCGGCGCGGCGTCCTGGACAACATGCTGTCGAACGAGGAGGCCGCGGCGGCGTTCTTCAACCGGTTCGGCGGGTGCGCGCTGTTCGACCCGAGGGGGCACCACTACGCGCGGCTCTTCGCCGACGCCAACGAGTACCGCAACCACCGCTGGAACCGGTACATCGCCGTGCTGAAGCGCGACCACCTCCGGACGCCATGCTCCATCATCTCCCTGCTCGCCGCGGCCACCTTGCTGTGCATCTCGGTCATGTCCGCCGGCTTCATCATTTGCCACTATCGCCATGCTTGCTCTTAGTGTTTTTTTTTCCAAGAAGACGCACACACACAAAGCATCTGCAAATGCCTCAAATAGCTAGCTAGTCTCACTTACAAACTATATGGCGGGCTTAGGATTTTAAACTTGTGTATTCGAAATAGGAAAGGGTAAAAAAAATTCGTCATATATCTAAAAGCCTAATAATTAGCTTATATAGTATCACATACTAATAATTATATAATATATAGCGTATATAACATAAAATTGAACATAAGTTCACACATTGATAGAATTGATCATCACTTCAAATTATTTAACATATAGAAATACTAATTGGTAAACATATCAAAGTGCCAACATATGGGATACATAAAGGATAGAAAATGGTAAATTGAGAAGAAATCTTACACCGTAGAGATCAACTTTTTAAAGCTTGATATTTTAAAAATAAGTGATTATTTTGAAAACAAGCATCATAGATGAATTGCCTAAATAGCTAATCAAGTTTGCAAGATACTAACTAGGAACTATGAATATCAAGTATGAACTACTGTCTACTTCTTACTCACTACAGTACAAGTACCAATTAGTCAACTACTCAAATACTCAACTAGGCAACTACAATTCTACCAACTAAGCAAGTATACTACTCCCTCCGTTTCAAAATGTTTGACACCGTTGACTTTTTAGTACGTGTTTGACCATTCGTCTTATTCAAAAAATTTGTGAAATATGTAAAATTATATGTGTATATAAAAGTGTATTTAACAATGAATCAAATGATATGAAAAGAATAAATAATTATTTTAAATTTTTTTTGATATACACATATAGTTAAATACACTTTTATATACACATATAGTTTTACATATTTCACAAATTTTTTTGAATAAGACGAACGGTCAAACACGTACTAAAAAATCAACGGTGTCAAACATTTTGAAACGGAGGGAGTACTATACTAGATAATTAGAAGTGTAGAACAAATCATGAAATTAGTGTTTTTCCGAATCCTCAAATATTCAGGGTGTGTTTAGTTCACGTTAAAAGTGGAAGTTTGGTTGAAATTGAAACGATGTGACGGAAAAATTTCAAGTTTATGTGTGTAGTAAAGTTTTGATGCGATGGAAAAGTTGGAAGTTTAAAGAAGAACTTTGGATCTAAACACGGTGTCAATACTTTATACTTGAAATCTTCAATCAATTAGAGATTCAGACTCCAGAGTATCACGGTATCACCTGCCTTTGCCCATGCGCCGACACTGCCACTGGCCCCTTCCTGCCTGCCTGGCCCTACTCGGTCACTGGCTCACTGCATTGCCACCGCGGCCCGCGCCGTCGCACCGAGCGCCCGAGCCGCCGACGCACGCGCCCCTGCCCAGCTGCCCCGTGCCGCGCGCCGGCGTCGGCGAGCCGCGCCGACCTGCCGCAGCAGGCCGCACATCGCGCCGCCGCCGCGCCTGTGCCGCCTTGCGACTCGCCGGCCGCCGCGGCGCGCCGGCGCCGCCGTCCGCCTCAGCAGCAACAAGGGTTAGGGGAGGGGGAGAGAAAGGGAGTGCGCGCCGCCTCGCCCTCGCGACTCGCCGACCGCCGCCACCCGCCTCTATAGATGGCCAAAAGGCCCGCCCGGCACGGCCCACCAGCCATCGGGCCGGCACGGCCCGATCGGCACTTCGTGCCGGGCCGTGCCGGCCCATGGGCTGCGCCTCCCGCCCAGGCACGGCCCACCAGCAGTCGGGCCGTGCCGGGCCGGCCCGAAGGCGTGGGTGGCCCATCGTGCCTTTTATAAATAAGTCTAGTTTTCTTCCCTCCTCTCTGGGCTGTGACATAATATAGCGAAAATAAGTCTATTTTCCATCCCTCCACTTTGGGTTGTGACATATATATAGTGAAAATAAGTCTATTTTTCTCCCTCCTCTTTGGGCTGACATATATATAGGTAAAATAAGTCTATTTTACATCCCTATTCTTTCGACCGTGGCATATAATATGTCTATTTTTACTCCCTATTGTTTATGTGTCGGGCCTGGCATATGGCCCATCGTGCCGTGCCGGCGGAGAGGCCCAGGAACGGCCCGGTGATCGGGCCGGGCCGGCACGGGCCCGACCCTTAACGGGCCGTGCCGTGCTTGGGCCGGGCCAAAACGCCGTGCCGTGGGCTGGGCCGTCGGACCTCGGGCCTTTTGGCCATCTATACCCGCCTCACCTAGCCTGGGGACACGACACACGAGAGAGAAAGAGTGGGCTGAGAGAGTGAGTGTGGGCTAAGAGAGAGGAGAGGGGGAGGGAAGTGGGCCGGAAAACTTCGGCCAATGGGCCAATAGAGGAAAAAGTACACCGAAGGTCCCTCATCTCTCTCTCATTTCTCTGCAAGCTGGCCAGGGCGAGGCGGGAGGGCGGCGTGCGAACGCGGCGGCTTCTTCGCTTTCTCCGCCTCCTCGTCCCGCTCGGGCGACGTGGGCACTCTCGTGTCGTCGCGCGTGCTGGCAAACGCGTCGGCCCTATCAGCGGCGCCGACGACGCGTACGCACGGTGGGACGCGGTGGTGGGGTGCTGGGCGCTCGCGGAGAAGTACCGGTCGTGGTCGCCCAACTCGGCGGCGCTGCAGCACGTACGTGGTTGGTTGGTTGGTTGGTTGGCTTCTTCTCGGTTTGTTCGTTCCTTGTGGTTGAGAGTGAGTGGGGTGGAGGAGAGACAGGAGGAGGAAGATGAGGGGATTCATTCACGTGGCTTCCGGAGAGAGCATAAGTCAACGTGCGGCTTGACTCTGGAGATCTCTCTCTCTCTCTCTCTCTCTCTCTCTCTCTCTCTCTCTCTCAAGCCCAAATCAGAAGTGAGTGAGTGAGTGAGTGATTCCTCCTCCGTGTTCCTGTCCGGCATTTATGATTTTCTCGCCTACGTTCTTGTCGCCGTGATGTGCACGCGCCACCGATGAAGGCGTCGAGGTCAGGAGAGGGAGAGGATTCGACGGAGAGAGAGAGAGGCGGTGGCAGGAAAAGGTTGGAGAAGGGGAGGCAGTGGAGAAGTCAAGAAACAAGAACCCAGTCACCGTTGAGATTGGGTTCGTTTTCCACCCTCCTCTGCGCCGATGCGTGTTTCTTTGTGTTCTTCTCTGTATTGTTCGTTTCTTTTTTGTGTGGATGGAATCATGGAAATGGGATAAAGATTTGCATCTTTACCATCTGCATTCGTGGGGCTCCAGGTTGCATGGTATCAGGATATATAGCATCTGGCTAGCGTCGATTTTCTTTTTCTTTTGTGTGTCTCGAAATGGTAGGAATCGTAGTACTGATCATTTCTCCCTTCGTCGGCAAGAATAATTCCTTTCTTTATCTTGGCGCAAGAATCTAATTTGCAGTAGAAGAACAGGCATGGTTTGAGTAGTAATATCCTGTATTATGAATCTGGCTGCAAACGCCTTATCTCTGCAGCAATGCCATCATCAGCCATGGCCGTCGACACCACTGTTCCTGAGTATTGGCTCAACTGAAAGTTCATTCTCTGCGCGGTCTGGGTCTACTCCTGCATGGTCCTGGCATGCTTCTTGATCTGGAAGTACGAGGGGCCGAGCTCACAGGACGGCAATGGCGATGGCGGCGGAGACAGTGAGGATGCGCGGCTGCCCCGGGCCGCATTCGGGGTCGTGTACCTTGAAGATTGCTGGAAGCCATGCCTTGAGCAGATCCACCCCTGGCGGCCATCTCCATGTGCGACACCGCTCCAGCTCGCCCCTCGCCCGCCGCCTCCGCCGGCGGCCGTCGCGGCGCCGCCCTCCCGCCTCGCCCCGGCTAGCTTGCAGAGAAGTGTGAGAAAGAGAGAGATGAGGAAGGGAGAGAAGAGGGGAAAGAGAGAGGGTGACGTGGACACCTGACATGTGGGACTCACGCTGACTCAGCCGCCACGTATATCAAAACTAGGGTCAAAACCACGGAAGAACCTCGGTTAACCGGTTCTTTATAGTTAGGATGTCGCATATTTTGTTTTACGGTTCGAGGACGTTTTTTATCCCGATGACGAGTTGAGGGACCATCGGTGTACTTTTTCCTAAAATCAATCAACAAGTGCGCGTCTCTGTCGCTGCACTTGAGCAAAAGCTCAATAAATACGGGCCGATCTCGTTCGGAATAAGTTCACTTTGACTCCTTTAACTAGTGGTCGATACGTATCCCTAAACCACAATACCACATATGTCGATACCTCAACTATTAAAACCGGTGTAATTTGACTCCCTCAGTGATTTTGGAGGGCAGTTTCGTTGATGTGGCGCCTACGTGGCGATGTTGACCTGGTCTTTGTTCCATGTGGCGTTGACGTGGTAGTTAAGTGGCATTAGAATTAAAAAATATATATGAGACTCATCTGTCATTAAAAAAATATATATCATGGGACCCACTAACATGTGAGGCCCACATGTCATTCCCTCTCCTCCCTTCCTTCCTCTTCCCTCTCTCTCTCTCCCTTATCTCTCCCTCTTTCTCTCTCCTTTCCTTCACCGGGTGGCACAGTCGGGAGGACAGGAGGAGACAGGGAGGCCGAGGGAGGCGGAGAGGCCGGCGAGCCGCTCCTCTCCCGCCGGCCGGCGCGCGCCGCTGCCTCGCCTCCTCTCCCGCCGACTGGTGCGCGCCGCTCTCTCCTCTCCCGGTGGCCGGCGCGCGCTGCTGCCTCGCTCTCTCTCCCACCGGTCGGCGCGCGGGGATCCCGGCGAGCCGCCACGACCTTGCGCACGCCGCGGGGATCCAGTCACGCAGGCTGCCAGACTTGGAGAAGTCGAAGGCCGGTGGCAGTGGCACCTTCAGCTCGCCGAGCTGCCTCGCCCTCGCCTCTCATCGGTGAAATAGATTAGTAGCAGAATTAGTGTGTTGGCACTGAAAAGCGACTGATTCCATTATACGGATGATGAATTGCATAGCATTGGTGAAACAAATCAGTAGTAGCGGAATTAGTGGTTTTGATACTGAAAAGCGATGGATTGAATGCTGCAAATGATGATGAATGTGTGTTTGATTTGATCGTGCGCACTACAACAAAATGAGCGCGTTTCTCTTAAGACGATACTGTAGTCGTCTCAATTTTCGAAGCCACCCTGAAAATAAAAATAAAGACGTTCGGTGAGACGCTTTCTATATCGTCCTACATTTACATCTATTTTTATTTTTTTGCAAAAGAAAAAAATCCTGAAAAGATCGTCAAGCCAACAAAAAAGAAAAAAAAAATCCTGAAAACCACCACGCCCACGTCCTCTCTGTGCGGCGCAAAAGACTCTGACCTCGTCATCCCGTCCAGATCTGTCGTCGGCGCTTGGTGCCGCCGCCCCTTGCCCACCGCCAGCTCGTCCTCTCCCCTACTAGGCCAGCTCCGCCTTGTCCTCCTCAGGCCACTGCTGCCATCTCATCCTCGGCCGGGGCGCCGCCGCTCGCCAGCCCTCAATTGGGTCGCCGCTGGCTAGTCCACCAGGCCGCCGGCAGCCCGTCCTCGCCCATTGACAGCCGCCGGTTCCCCGTCGCCGCCACATCTATCTTCGATCGTCTTCGCTAGCTGCCTGCCGCGGCGCTGGTTTCACGGCTCAGACGGCTCCGTCGGTGGCAGGTATGTTCTCTCGTCCCCTGATAGCTAGGGAAAACTAATGTGTGCTAAGAAAAACTAATTATCCACTTGTGTTATTCAATTTGTCAAGAGTTTGTGTTCAGTTCTACCCCCATTGAGTTATTTGTTATAATCCTGCAGAACTACAAAATGAGTAATCAATTGTTTGGACCCTTTTGCTTCAGGGATTTGCTATGGCAGAAAGTTGTTTGATGATTTGGTTAGTAAAAATCTATTATACAGAGGTAGATTGTAAAGAAGAAATATATCATGCTGTGAAGAAGGGAGGAGCTCAAGCAAGTGTTAGCATATGATTCATTCTAAATTTCTTTTTAGAGATGCAAATCTCATTTTTTGTATGATTGTTGACCTGACATGTTAATAACAATTGCTCTTAATATAATTACCTTCTCATTGATTCAAATGTATTACGGTTTTTTGGCATTTGATATGTTGATGCAATAATATATATGATATTCAGATGTGATGTGAATGCTGTCAATATTGCAACAAGCTCTGGTAGGAAAGCTTTGTATCCTACAAGTGCCGTATGAATTGGATTAAATAAAACGTCTCAGTTACTCTTAAGAACGCGTGAAAGGGTCATTTGAGACGTTATTTGAGCCCATCCATAAAAGCGTCTCAACCTAGTCTCAACCTCCATAGGGATGCTATTTTAGCGTCTCAAATCTGTTAGAGATGCTTTATAAAATGTTTCTACAATTTTGAGACGGTCCCAACGAAGACGCTTCTGGGACGCTTTGAAGAAGCGACTCTGCATATGCCTAAGGACGGTGCAGAACGTCTCTAAACCACAAATAAAATGTCTTTAAATACATGTTTTGTTGTAGTCGCGGTTGTAAAATTGGATTTGGGGGGCACTACTCACGGTGCTACCAGATGTCACCGACGATTCCCTTGGTCTTGCGCGTGGCCTGCCCGAACCTCCTCCCGACCACGTCGAACTTCTCCCGGTGATTCTCTCTGGCGCTTGTGGCTATTGAGCCTTGGAGACACACAACCGGAGACGGTCAGCACGTCTGCCTGGATCGTCTCAAGAATCGGAGCAGCAGTAGCGAAGAGGAGAAGGAGGGGGTGGTGGTGGTGGTACTGACTCTTTGCGGGCAGCTACGTGGACTGCACGGAGACAGCGGACGACACGACGGACGACGGGCGGCGGCGGTGGCACGACGTCCTTCGGGGACAATCGAGAGTACATCGGATGCTCTGACGCGCCTCCTCCTCCGTGGCCCTGGTTGTGCTTCCTCTACCACCGCCGCTGCGGGCTCACCTTCGCTGCCCTAGCTTGCCTGCCGCCACGCGCACCGGCCAAAGAGGAAGGAGAGAGAAAGAGATAGAAGGGAGAGAGGAAGGAGGAGGAAGGAAGGATATAGGGAGGGCCTCACATGTCAGTGGCCCTGTATTTCTTTTTTGTGAATGACTAATGGGTCCCACGTATATTTTTTAATTCTAATGCTACGTAAGTGCCACGTTAACGCCACGTGGAACGAAGACTCGGTCAATATCGCCACATAGGTGCCACGTCAGTAAAACCGCCTATCAAAACCACCGAGGGAGTCAAATTATACCGGTTTTAACAGTTTAGGGGTCAAGATATCTGGTTTTGCAGTTTAGGGTCATGAATTAGATTCGGGTCATTTTTAAGGGAGTCAAAGTGAACTTATTCCATCTCGTTCCGGTGCGGACGGCCGCAGCGGCCTGCGAGACGGGGACGGTTTGTTTAGGCCCACAACCTGTGCAGTTGTTGGGCCGCGGCCTGCGAGACGGGGACGGTTTATTTAGGCCCAAAACATGTGCAATTGTTGGGCCGCGGCCTGCAGGTTACTTTGATCTTTTACATGGGCCCGTGGCCCCCTGGTGTCGTTGTCCACTACTCCACTTGTCCTTGGCCTGTTTGGGGGAGCTTGTCACAGCTGCAGCTTTTCCTAAAAGCTGCTTCTACTATAAGCTGCCTCAAACAGTCCACAACTTCTGAGAATTACAGATTCTGAAAAATGAACTAAGAAGCCAGAAGCTGGGTTTCAGAGTTTTTCCAGATTCTCAAAAGCTGGCTACCAAACAGCTGCTTCTCAGAATCTAAAGCTCTAGCACAGTACAGGTCGGTCTCTTCCCATGTCGTTGTTCATAACGCCTTGTAATAAAATCGTACGAAGTGAGAAGCAAGTACAGGCTACAGAAATATAGGAGTACCACACTACGCTACTGCTCCCATAAAACCGTCTCCTGCTGTTCTTCATTGCAGCATGTTACCATTATTTTCGTCCAAGAACAGTTGGACGGTCTTGTGGCAGTTATCGCCTGTTCGTCACCCCCAACAGATACTGAGATACAGATGCGTCAACACCAGCGTGCTACCAACCACGATTTCGCGAGCAAGATCCTGACTAATCCCTTCATTTCCAAATTTATAAGCGTAGATTCAAACTTTACACGCAATGTAAGAATTTCTACTAGATTGTAAAAACAGGGGAGTCAAATCAAAGCACTTTTAGTTGACCAGGTGCTTAGAGAATCTAAACAATTTAAAATCCAACACCAATACAACGACTATTTTTTTTCTATTACTTATAGCATTTGCTAGACAATTTAAAAATATTTACTACTCCCAACATCCTATTTTAAGTGTAGTTATGGATTTCTGGGCATGTTTAGATTGAAACCAATTCTTGCCCTACCAATTATTTGGTAGTTTTGAATAATACTTGTTAGCTATTTGGTTTGAGGCTAAATCTTACCAATCCAATAGAGTTAGAAACAACACAACCCTACCAAAATTTTGGTAGTGCCAAAACTTACCCAAGATTTGGCACTACTAAAATTTTGGTAGGGCTTCAAACCAAAACAGCCCTCTGTCTAACATTGACTGTCCTTTCGTTTGAAATATTTTATGTTACTATTTTTATTGTTGTTAAATAATAAAATATGAATAATATTTTATATGTAACTTGTTTTCTTTATTTTTTTATAAATATTTTAAATAAAACATACGCTTAAATATTAGACATCAAAATCAACTACTGTATTTAAAAGAGTAAATTGCACTGATAGCACACAAACTTGTTAGGTGGGTGCAACTTAGTACATAAATTTGTGAAATGTTCGTTTCGATACACAAACTTGTCTACTTCGTACGAACGATGACCAAAATAGCTTGACAATGTTAATTTTACGAAGCTTATGTTGATTAGGATGTGACGTGTAGCGAGTATACATAAGACATGCAATATTTATATATTTAGTCCTACTTTATCCTTCATCATGGAAATGATGAATTTCATATATATTCTCACTCTTATATCATTGCTCTGTTTTAATTTTTTTATACGATCTCTTATCCATTCTATTATTATTGAAGATGTGTATGTCTAATAGTAAACTTTGTCAGATATATGTTTACATAGATCTTATTGAGCCCCTAAATTAATAAGATTAGCCACGTAATATTCTTTTTTTGTCTTCCTCCGCACATGCCACACAAATTCATGCACCAAAACGAGCATTTTACAAGTTTGTGTACTAGATTACATCCACTTGACAAATTCACGTATCAACGATGTAATTTACTCGTATTTAAAATGGGGCAAACGAAATACTAGTAGATTGCCAGATAGGAGTATCACCACGATTGCGCACGATCTTCTGGAAGCCTCCTCGCGTAGTCGCGCTGCGGGTCGGTCGGTCACAACACACCAGCGGAGCGGTTTGCCGGATGGGTGGCTGGCAGGTGGGCCCCACGGCGCGCGAGAGAGGGCAAAGCAAAACTCGTGGGCGGCGTCCGTCACGGGCTGGGGCCTCGTGACCTCCGCCCCCCGGCCGTCGATACGCACGATGCCCCCTTCCGCTCCGCTGTCCCCACCCGTCTTATTTAAGAAAGCCTCGCCACCCTCCCCCTCCATTCCACCTCCTCTCCACGCGCGCTGCTGCTCCTGCTCCCCTGCACGCACGCTCGCCGCCGCCGGCGCCATGGCCGCCTTCACCACCACCGCCGCCGGATCCGCCGTCGCCTTCGCGCGGCCAGCCAAGGTATCGAAACGGACCGACTGCCCCCCCCCCGATCCGTCTCCTTCCTTGCTTCCTTCCTTTCGCTAGGGTTTAAGCTCTGCTTCATCCCGGGGTTTGGGGATCGCCATGTGTGTGGTTGGTTAGTCTCACGCGCGGCGCTATGGGTGGTGTTGATCTGATGGGGGTTTGGTCGACGTTCGCCCGTAGGTTGCTGTTTTGGTGCCTGGCGTTTTAATCCGGAATCGTGTGCGGTGTGGATCTCGGTAGATCTGCGCTTTTTAGGATTATATGCTCTATTGCTCGATGGGTTTATGGCGTGGCTTATGGTGTTCTGGAGTTCGTGGTGTATAACTGACGCAGGCATGTTTCTGGGCATGTCGCCAAGTGAGGTTGTCTGCTTGTCTTCGTGGTGCGTCCGTGAAGTTTGATTTTGCACTTTGGAGCCTACTAATTTACGGTCTCTGATAGTCTCATGGCCCAAAACATCGTACGATTCTAGTGGGATTCGTAATATTAGCCTACCGTGTGAAATTGTGAATAGTGAACTGTGCCATATGAGTTGGTACCTTCATATTTATCTATATATAATTCGTATCTAGGAGTAGAAAACAATGAAGTTGCATTTTACATGGTATGGGATGCTTATCTCAGAAGCAAATTACGCATTCAAGATTGCAGCTGATGGTGCAGTATTTTATGACATTGTAGTGTCTCAATCAAGGCGAAATAAATCATCATAGAAATGATTCACCAACTTTACCTCTCTTGATGAGGGCTCTTATGAATGCATGATAATTTATTGTCACTTAATCTAAAGTTCGGAACATGCTACACATGCTCATCAAGGTGCTATTCTTGTCCTTCACATCACATGAAAATTGAAATCCATTGCTACTATCTGATCTGACCTACATTTGACATGAAAGTAAAGGTGGACTCCTAAAGCATGGGAATAAGTGTGATGCTCAGCAATACTTTTATAATGCAGGAGTAATTTCGATTATACAAACTTGCCCCGTTGGAATTTACTGAAAACAAAGAGTCCAGTCATTCAAAGTTTCAAACCAAGAAAAATGGTCTAGTTTGCAGTTTGCAACAGTGATGAATTGGTTACTTTGTGAAGCTAAATGAGATTGAGGTTAATTTTGGCATGTGTACTTCTTCGAAAACCAACTTTTGGAATTGGTCCCTGTCATTTGTATTTATTTCATCAGATAAGTCTTAGATTACCAATGTTTCATAGCAAACCTGCTTGTTTGTTGTTAGAGTGGCTTGGACTGATATCTGGTAGTTGTGATCTTAGTTTAATCATGTGATCTGGCATTGTTCCTTCTTCAAATGGATTCTGTTATTTCTTATTTCACTTAATTTTGCTTTCCTTGAGAAGTTATGTTCGGTGGTTTACAGGCAATCAATGTCAGTTCAGTCTCTTTCGCTGGTTTAAGGAAGAACAATGTGGCTTTCACTCTGCAGCCAGTGACACAAAGATTTGCAGTTCTCCGTGCTGTAAGTTCCATACTTCTGTGGATTTTACTCACAATCTTAAAAGATTAGATCGCATGACAGCTTATGTTTCCTTTATTGAACTCTCACCATTTTGTGCTACTATACATTTGAACAGGCCAAAAAGGAAACAGTGGAGAAGGTTTGTGATATTGTAAAGAAGCAGCTTGTACTTCCTGAAGGCACTGACGTTACTGGTGCCTCTAAGTTCACCGATCTTGGTGCTGATTCCCTGGATACGGTGAGCCAACTGGATGCGATAAGTTCTTCTATTAGTTTCAACTATTTGGCATTAACCTCTACGTGTCCTGAAATTGCTTGATGTGTAGTTATTAGATATCATAAGACATTTGTGGCTGTTCCTTGTCCATATTATACTACCAGTTATACCGGGTTGGCTTGCTTATAACAAAGTTATCTGAAAATACCTTTTCATCTAGCAATATAGTTTCCCGGCAAATGATATCTTCTTTATGTTGATTTGTTTCTTGGACTAATTTATGAAGCTTCTGTAGCCACATATCATCTGTCTACTGTTTACATAACTCTCCCTGATTCCCTTCTCCGAGAGATCTAAACTTTGTTTGAATCCCTTTGTAGGTTGAGATTGTTATGGGTCTTGAAGAGGCTTTCAAGATCAGTGTCGATGAATCAAGCGCGCAGTCAATTGCGACAGTGGAGGATGCTGCTGAGCTCATCGACAAGATTGTTTCTAATGCAAAGTAAACTCAATTTCGTTGGAATAATGTGTCAACTGTCAAAGAGATTAAACTGCTGTTGTTGTTCGATGTCCATTTTTCTGTGCTAGATTTTACTGTGGAGAGGTGCCTTAATAGCACATGATTATCATTGGCTGTTTTGCGATGCTATGACATTTTAAGCTATTGAAGTTGTTGAAAAAGAAATTTCATTGCCGAGGAAATCTATTTTCGCTAGGTCTTTCGTCAAGTACTCTTTATGAGAGCCATATGAATCATGATTTACAACTTTGTTGTACCGCTGCTTTCTTTTCTACTTTGTGGGGACGATTTGGACCTTGAGAAATGAGAAGCCCATCTCGTGCTTTCTTAAGAACAACATAAAGGTGGGAGCAAATGCTCTTATGCTTTTTGCACAGGAGCTCTGGGAGAGTCTGCCTGGTTAAGTGTAACAGTGCTATGTTCATGGCCTGGTTAAGTTGTCATTATTGTGGTATCCGTTTCTGATGTTTTGCTAATGTGACCATCGGAGACTGTCAGACATGAATGTTTCATTTCGGGATCCAATTCAAAAGGTTCAGTCTTCAATCTGTTTAGACAAGCAATGCACGATTGGTAGCATCTCTAATTTCAGACCTCCGGGCTGATCTTAGGGCTGCATTTTAGTTATGTTAAGAGCCTGAGATAACACTTAGAGCAGGTACAATAGCAGGCTATAAGTCAGCTACAAACATATTTTAAGCAGATAAATAAGGAGAGAGAAGAGAAGCGGGCTACAGATTTGTAGCCAGCTGTAGCACAGACTCCAAGACGCAGTGTGTGTATGGTAGGTGGGATCGGGTATTAATAGTGTAGTATATAACTATTGTATGAATGTGCTATTAGATTGGCTATAGATGAATTGAAGCTAATAGTTGGCTATACTATTGAACTTGCTCTTAAACATCTCAAAATTTAGGAGTAGTTTTGAACTGAAAGTCACGATAAACCATGCTTTACTTTCCGATGACATGAGTAACTCACTCATCGCGAGCTCCCAGCAGAAGGAAACCCCATCATTCTGTCCACAAGCACCGCAGCACGCCGACGGGACAAACGAAACCGCACGAGCCCCAGGCGTGCTTCCCTAGCTTTTTCTTCCCTGGGTAACACAAAAAACAAAACAAAACAAAACACCCTCTTGCAATTGTCTCAAATGGTAGTACCACTAAGCAAGATTAGCTTCTAATCCACACAATTAATCTAATAAAAACACGCCATTGCTAAGGTTTAACCCTTGCGTTATGGTTAGACATTTTCTATCAGCAACTAAGTAAGATTCTGAGACAATTTTATTGTTTATGCTGTAATAGAGTGCCTCACCAATGGTTTACAAGACCGGCCGTTTATCACTAAAACCAGTCTTTGGTTGGCTTGAGAACATAAACCACCAGTTTTCATCAAGTTCATAAAAAAACCAAACTCATTTTTCTTAAAAAGTTATTCAAGTTAAAAAAGAAAATCCAAACTCGAATTTTACTATTTTAAAACAAAATTGGAAAGAATTTTGTTGGAAACCAATGGCTTCCAAATGGTTTTTGTGAAAACCGCTGATCACCGGGGTTTTTTTTCTCGGGAACGGTTCAGTGCAAGGCCATCAACTTCAGGCCGAGAGAAGAAAGCCATTGTCGGAGGAAATTCCCCGACAGCCACTCGCACGGGCTGCACGGCTGTCGGCGCGGCACCCGTTGCCGCCATCGATTAGCTCAGAGCTTTTCGGTGCCCGGCTACCTCTCTACCTAGCTAGACCTATACATATAGCGGAGGAGCAGAGGCGGGAGAGAGTATAGTGGAGAGGAGAGTGAGAGCTGGTGGTAGGGGAGATCCCGAATTCTCGATCGATATGGCGGAGGGGAAGAAGGCGAGGAGGGAGGAGGAGCTCGTGGAGGCGGCGCTGGCCGCGGCGGCGGCGGCGCTGTTCGTGTCGGGCGTCAAGAAGCTGGTGCCGGCCGTGCTCGTGGCGCGGTGGTGGCCCGCGGCGATGCTCGCCACGGCGCCGTCGCCCGTCCTGTTCCTGCTTCTCAACGTCATCATCGCCTCCATCGTCGTCGTGTCCGTGCAGCCGAGGCGTGCGGCGGCGGCGTCGGCGACGGCCGCCGCCGCCGCCGAGCACGACGCCGCAAAACGGTGCGGGGAGGGCGCCAAGAAGGTGAAGAGGAGGAGGAGCAAGAGGCGGGAGGAGAGCGCCGAGGGGAGCACGTTGACGACGCTGGCGGCGGTGGTGCCCGTCGCTGCCGCTGACAGCTGCTGCATGGCGCTGGCGGTGGTGGACGACGGGGCGGATCAGACGCTGCCGCCGACGACGTCGACGGCGCCGGAGACGCAGCAGGAGGAAGCGGACGGGAATGCGGCGGCGGAGGAGGTGAACAAGCGGGCGGAGGAGTTCATCTCGGCGTTCCGGCGCCACCTCAGGGTTGACTCCTTCTCGTCGGGAAGCCGGCGAGCCGGCGGCGCCAGAATCGAAGCCTGCTTTTGACTGGAAGTTGCATTGCACCGAGCAAAGTGTGCTTCTTGTTTCTGCACATTTTTCTTTCAGTCTCTTGCTGCTTTTTTTTTATTATTATTATTTTTACCTTTGGAAGCTGAGATGTAGTTACTCTACTCTTTTGACATCAGTTTGATGAAAACTAGCTTGCTTGGAACTAGATGGAATCAGGTTCACAATTCCGACGAAAACTGGTTGAATTCTGCGGAAAACGCTCGAAAGTAGAAGTCGTCTGGAATTTTGATGGGTTTCATCCAAATTCAAATTTGGAAGGAAAAAACACTCACTTAATAAATTTATAATACTTTATATATATAATAATATAACTATATCATGCAACCTACGCCAAAATATATGAAGAGATAATGTCTCAGCTCTGTTGACGGCACTCCCGGCCATCTCATATGGTGTACCAATAGAAAGTTGAAAAAACTTTAGCAAATTCCAAAACATTTCTTCACAACTTTACTAATCCTCCATGCATTTGTTATGTGCGTATCTCCATCCTTCACTACATACTCCATCCGTTCAAAAAAAATATTTATATGATAAATGAGAGATGCTAAAAATGAAGTTTTTTTTTAGCAGAAGGAATAAGATTCTGTGATGTGTGATGTGTCATGTAGAAGAGAGAGGAGAAACACGAGATACTTTTGAAGCACACAAACCAAAAATGTAGAAATTGCAAAACACATATTGCAAAAAAAAAAAGTCTTCGACATAAAACCCAAGAAGTAGATGACCAAGAGAGAGGTAGGGAACATATAATTTTGGACCCACTAATAGACATTATGCTGTGTGCATGATTATTTGGAGTGCTCTAAATGAAATAGACGAAATTTCTATATAAAGGACGCAAGTTTGTTTTAATGGAGAATGCAACTAGCAATAGTTATGGCGCTATATTCTTCTTAAGAAAATGTCAAAATTTTCAAATGTATTCACATTGTAAATTCTATATTAGACACTGTAAATTTCAAATCTTACTCACTGTAGGGGATAATTAGGATAAAACATACTCCATCTGTTGCAAAAAAACAACGAATTTGAACAAAGGATTGTCCAGATTCGTTGTACTATGAGGGTTTACATTCTCTCTTAGGTTGGATTTTTTTAGTACCGAGGAAGTAGTTGATTATATACTTGAATCATTGAATAAAAAGTAAGTTAATAAGGAAGTTAAATTAACACATAACTAAAGGACAACAATAGAAGTCAGAAGTTAATAAGAAAGAGATACGGAGCTATGTTTGGCTGATTGTGTAAAAGTGCCTGCAACACAATGAGTTTTGCCTTTCCATGCTTTAAGAAAGTGTATGCAACACAATGTGTTTTGGCTTTTTATACTGAATATGTTAATGTGTTTCTAGCTAGGTAAGATGGCATAGGGAGTGTGTACTTCTTTTCAATTTTGTATAATATAACTTTTATCCCTTAAATGAAAGCATGTAAGTGGGTTTTAACATTCTTTTTCAATGTAATGGACGATAATTTTGAATCTATAATCCATCTGAACAATCAAGTGATATCCAAAATAGGGCTTTTGTTTTGGAAACCAAACCACTACATTGTTTTGGAAATCGTCCATTACTTTAAAAATTGTTTTAAAGAAGTAAAATATTAAATTACCTGAAAGAAAATCAGACATCTTCTACAAAACAAGTGACGATGAAGTTAAGGCTCCCATTGCGATGATGCTAGATAGGCGGTCGCAATTTCACACGATGACACGTGGCTCAAGAGAAGCGTACACTTGAACATATTCTACCAGTTAATTTGCCCGTGCTAACGCTACGGTGTCATAATTTTTTTTGACGAATTACATGCTAGCAAAAATAATTTACTTGTAATACATCCAATTGAGCCTTAATTCGGTCTATGTCACATAATAAGGCAAAGTACAATAATTATATTGCCTAAAAATATTAATTCAAGATCGTCAATTATCTAATCACTTCAATACCAATATATGAAACAATATGCATCCACACAAAAAAGTTGAGGATAAATAACATATTCCAAGCAATTCCACATATTCTCAATCATGGTACCGATAAATACACAGTATTAACACACATTGATCTAGTATCATGTAACTGGCAAAATCTAGAATAACTAACACACTGACACCACTACAGTACAATGAACATGGCTTTCTTTGGTTTACTTTGTGAAAGTGTTTGCAACTGAATGTGTCTTGGCTTTTTGCATGCTTTTGCGGAAGTGTTTACAATGCAATGCATTTTAGCTTTTTGCATAGAACGCTTGTCGGTTTATGTGGCCCATGGTTTTGATCTTTCCTATGCAATGACGTGTTGGCTCTGCTAACTAACTTTGTGGAATGTTTGTAGTAGTAATGCATTTCTGTCTTTTGACGGAACATGCGCGTGGGTAGGCCTTAGAGAGAAGGGAATGTATAGAACGTGGTACCTCCTTTTAATTATTTATAATATAATAAGTGGATGATATAACGTATCAATTACCATCTTTTCAAATTGAACATCCAAAGATCCTGAAGTCTCCCTAGCTTATTATCTCACGTGGTCTTGCATGGCTATGTTTGGCTTGCTTTGCAAAAGTGTTTGCAACGCAATGTGTTTTGGCTTTTGCATGCTTTGTGGGAGTGTCTAGAATGCAATTTGCTTTGTTTTTGTTTTGCATGGAGCTTGTATTGGTGATGTAGCCCATGGTTTTCATCTAATTTACGCAATGACGTGTTCGCTCTGTCTCGCTAGCTTTGTAGAACTATTGGGACAACAATGTTTTATCACTTAAAAATTGGCATTTATGCAGTTTTCATGTGTATTTTGGATCCATAATCCATCTGAACAACCAAGTGATATCCAAATTAGAACTTTCTGTTTTGGAAACCACACCATTACATTATTGTGGGAATTGTCTATTACTTTCAATAATGTTTAAAAGAAGTAAAACATCAAATTACTTGAAAGAAAATTAGACGTCTTCTACGATGCAAGTCATGATGAAGTCAAGGCTCGTATTATAACGATGCAAGATAGACGGTGTCAATTTTACATGCCGACACATGGTACAAGAGAAGCTTACACGTGGTGGCATCTTCAATAAAGAGTGATTACAGAGGTGTTCAAATTTGTCGTAGCGCTGATGCACCGCTAGTGGCAACGATGGCATGTTATGGATGGCTCATAAAGCATCGAAGGCGGTTGCTGTGTGTGCTTACCACAACCCTTATTTATCATCCACACTTAATTATTAGCTGCTCTTTTGTTAATTAACGTAGTTTAATGTCCTCAAATTTATAAAAGGGTTTTAAAAAAATTCACTACGATAGAAAGGTGAGGATGAGACAGTATTGTCGGATGGGGCATCACCCTTATTGGAATGTCGAGAAAATGCCATTATTTAGGGTTTTATTATTAATAAAACCAATTGTGTGCATCACACATTATCACACGAAGTTTTAATCATGTACCCTTTAAAAAAATATCAGTATTTTTCTCTCGTATGATAAAACCAAATCCTCTAATTAATGCTCTCTTATTTTAAGCGGCTGACATGCAGACCGCGTGACTATCGGGTCCACATACCAGGCAATCCAAAGTAGCCTTATCCTGTCAGATACACGAGATTTACTGCTCTCTTATTTTAAGCGGCCAACAAGCAGACCGCGTGACTATCGGATCTATGTGTCAATGACTCATATGACACGATAATCAAGAGCAGCCTCATCTTTATCAGATACACGAGATTTAATGTTCTCTTATGTTAAAAGGTCGATACGTAGACCGTGTGACTATCAGGTCCACATGTTAGTGACTCACGTCACACGACAATCCAGAGTAGCCTCATCCCCTTCAGATACATGGGATTTACTGCTCTCTTATTTTAAGCGGCCGACACGTAGACCGCGTGACTATCGGATCCACATGTCAATGACTCATGCCACACTACAGTCCAAAGTAGCCTCATCCCCATCAAATACAAAATTAACACGCATATCAAGATAGAAAATCATCAATTCCGAGGTGCATACGAGGCGTGCCTCATCAAATTTCGCTAAACCAAAACCACCCTTCTAGACCCTTCCCCTGCCCATATATCTTCTTAAAAGTATCACTTTAAACCACCTTTCCTCTACAAAATAAAAATATTAGTATATCTTCCCATCCGATAAAACCAAATCCTCTACTTATTGCTCTTTTATTTAAGCGGTTGGCAAACAGACCATGTGACTAACAGATCTGCGTGTCATCAACATATGCCACAAGACAGTCTAGAGTAGCCTCATCATCGTCATATACGGGATTAACATGCACATCAAGAGAGAGAATCACACAAACCATGTAACTAACGGGTCTACGTGTCAATGACATATACCATATGCTAGTTTAGAGTAGCCTTATCATCATTAGATACGGAATTAACACGCGCACCAAGAAAGAAGATCATCAATTCTGAGGTGCCTACGAGGCGTGCCTCATCAAATTTCGCTAAACTGAAACCGCCCTTCTAGACCCTTGCCCCGCCCATATATCACTCTAAACCGCCATTCCTCTGCTTTCGTGCCTCATCATATATCTTTTTAAAAATATTAGCATATCCTCCTATCCGATAAAACCAAATCCTCTCCTTATTGCTCTTTTATTTTAAGCAGTTGGCACGCAAACCATGTGACTAACGGGTCTACGTGTCAGCGACATATGCCACACGACAGTCTAGAATAGCCTCATCATCGTCACCTACTGGATTAACGCGCGCATCAAGAGAGAAAATCGCGCAAACCATATAAACTAACGGGTCTACTCCCTTCGTCTAAAAAAGTCCAATCCTAAATATGTATCTAAACATGCACAGTATCTAGATACATCCTTAGGATTTTTTTTCTAGAGCAGAAAGTGTCAATGACATAAGCCACATGGTAGTACTTTCTCAATCTATTTTTGATTGTCATATTTCATCTTGGCATAATAACCAAGGATAAGTAATTCTACTTATCATCCATTTAAACATGCTACTATTAGTTATTTCTCGTAAACAAGCGATTCATTAATATTTATATTTGTCGATACCCATGTAGCTAACCTTGTATGGAAAAAATGAAGAGTCACGCATTAAATCTAAGAAAGTTATTAAGATGATAGGTGGTTGGATTAAAATATGACTATTAAAATTAAAATATTCAGATTTAGAAATATGCCAGGGAAAATTATCAGACAAGGGATTAACACACGCGCGCAAAAAAAAAAAGAAAGAAAGAAAGAAAAAAGAAATAATCGATTTCTTGGTGTGTACGAGTACGAGGCGTCTGAACCGAAACCGCCGCTTCTAGACCCTTCCCCTCCCCCTCTAGAAAATTGATATTGTGCCATCCTCAAAAAGTGGGTTTCGCCCAAATGCCATGCTGGAAGTGGGCTTCGTTAAAATGCCACTTTCAACACATGGTTACACGCTAAAATACTATCTCGGACCAAATTACCCTCCTCTCATCTTCTTCCTCCCTCCATCACCATCAGCTCTCGCCGGCGGCCACCATCTGCCTTCGCGCGAGCTCTCCTCCATGGAGAACCACAGGCCACAGGCCCCTGCGGGGACCCCTCCCATGGCTCCCCTCCCCGTGCCCCCTCCCATCCGCCCCCATCCCAGCCCCGCCCTCCGCGAGCCCCCGCACCCGTCCCGGCCACCGCCGCCGTCGCCTGCACCTCCGATGACCACCGCGCCGCGCCTTCGCCATGGCCATGCCCACCAACGACTCCGCCGTGCGGGTGCGCCTCCGCCGTCTGGAAGAACGGGAGTGGCTAGGACGGCGGGTTGGCACGAAAGACGGAGACCGCCGACGTCGGCGTCGGTGGCGCGGATGGCGTGGAGCGTGACCACGGGGTCGTCGGTTGGGGACGGTCGAGGCGGGGAGGAAGTGGTGCGGAGGTGGAGGCGGACGAGGCGGGGGTTGTCAGGGAGGAAGGGGAGCGGAGGTGGAGGCGGATGAGGTGGGCGTGGCAGAGGCGAGCCGGCGAGGCATCCCTTGTCAGAGGTGGAAGAAGGTAGTAACAGGGGTATTTTTGTCCGTTCGGGCATTATAGCGTGTAGTCTTCGATTGAAAGTGACATTTTAATAAAGCCCACTCCCAGCGTGGCATTTGGACGAAACCCACTTTTGAGAATGGCACAATGTCAATTTTCTCCCCGATTCCGCCCATAAAAAGGCAATGGCAAAGCCCCTCTTGGACCCCGAGGAAGAAACCCACCCCCAATCCCAATCTATTCCATCGCTTTCTAGGGTTTGTTCTCTCGTCGATCCGATGGCGGCCGAGGCGGAGACGAAGGCGATGATCACCCTCCGCAGCTGCGAGGGCCAGGTGTTCGAGGTCGCGGAGGCCGTGGCCATGGAGTCCCAGACCATCCGCCACATGATCGAGGACAAGTGCGCCGACACCGGCATCCCGCTCCCCAACGTCTCCGCCAAGATCCTCTCCAAGGTAATCGAGTACTGCAGCAAGCACGTCGAGGCGCGCGGCGGGGCGGCCGCCGCCGCCGACGGCGACGCCCCCGCCCCCGCCGCCGTGGAGGCCAACAAGGCCGTCGAGGACGAGCTCAAGACGTTCGACGCCGAGTTCGTCAAGGTCGACCAGTCCACCCTCTTCGATCTCATCCTGGTGAGAACATGCCTCCCGCCCCGCGCGCTCCCCCCCTTTGTTTTTCTTCTGCTCATGTTTCATCTCCATGAACTGTGTGATGATTGTTTGATTGTGCGTCTGTTGTGGTTATGCGCCTCTGTTGATAGTAGATTGGAAGTTTTGGCCCTTTGTGATGATTGTTAAATTGTGGTTTGTGATTATGCGCCTCCATCGATGGGTGATGATCTGGTTGCTGGATAGTAGATTGGAAATTCAGTCCTTCTGAAATTAAAAAGAGAAAAGAAAACAAGGATACTTTTGGAGGTAGATTGGCTTTCTTGCTCTGACTTATAAAAAAATTATGTGATGCTACCGGTGTTTCAGTTTAGGAGGGTCATTGTGGTTTAGGATTAGTTCAGTTAGTTGGGGGTTTGGGTGTTGTGAATTGTTTATGAATGTGGTAGGTTCTTCAGGCATCATTGGCTAGAGAGTAGAGACCTGTATTTCGAACACACTTTTTTTTTATTATATAAAGTGGTATTGTAGGCCATCAAGTGTTATCATCTCCATGTTTCATATTCAACCTGATCCTCATTGCTTCACTCATGTGCCTAGTGTGAAATTATTTTACTACCTATGTAGGAGGTGTAGAGAGATTATAATTTCTTTATGATGGGATCATTTTATTTGTTGTGTTATAGGAGGCTGTGACTGATTAGGTGGTATTTTGATGGCTTTGCTGTCTGCTAATCGTTTTGCAGGGCCATAGTCAGTTTCTAGGATCACAGAACTGGTTATCTTAATCTGTTAATCTGTTTTGGTGTTATGGGTTCAGAATTTGTAGCTTGTTGAGGTTTCACTGTATTCACATTTTTTAATTTGTACAATCAGATGGCTGTGGTTTAATATTTTAAATTCAAGAGAGTTTTAATAATTTGTTGACTGCTAACAGCATGACTGGTGATTGTGATGCATGACTGGAGATTCTGATGTGCTTGTATTAGAAGCCTTGAAGCGAAATATTAAAAGATGTTAATGCAAGTACAAGCTGGTTGAATGGTGCTTATTTTGTGTGTATTTCTTGTTAGTTGTTTGGTGCATATATTTGTTGTGGACATGTCTTAGGATTCTTTGGGATGCTCTAGTCAGTATCCAAATAGTTTTGAAATGTCTAGTTAAGATATTTGTAAAATGGTTTAACTGATGTCTGTTGTGGCCTATAATGGAGGTGTTATTTTTTCATGCTCGTTCCATGGGGCAAGAAGGCATGAGATAATCTAACCTTAAAAAAATAGCATTTGGTATTTTCTTCATCATGGAATGCAATGCTTTGAGTAGTGATAGTTGAGTTGATATAAAAATCTATGTGCATGTTATTGGCTTACAGTGGCGTATTTTCATTGGTAGTATGTCATCGATTTCCTAACTTATGTACGAAACAATCGTTCTGTCTTGATTATCTGTTCGTTCTTGATTATCCATTTGTTGTTAATAATCTTCTGTGTTGTATTGGAATTCTTCAGTTCTCAGCTTGGCTTTACATGTTTTCTTGCCACTAACCAGTGTGCATTGTGCTGATCAGACATGGTATAGAGTATGTAGAGTAGCAAGGGAACACCTAAACTTGCTTAGTGCAATAGCCATTCTACATTCTGTATCTTGATAATTCACTAAATTATGAACACTGCTCCTACCCATCATGCAGCTGCTGGATGATTGTCTCATGCTTCTGTTGTATCCATGTATATTGTTTTTTATCATTCATGTACAAAGTCGATTAGATTCATGTGCATGTTTGTGTTTCAGGCTGCAAACTACCTCAACATCAAGGGACTGCTGGATCTGACCTGCCAGACCGTGGCTGACATGATCAAGGGGAAGACACCAGAGGAGATCCGCAAGACCTTCAACATCAAGAATGACTTCACCCCCGAGGAAGAAGAGGAGGTGAGGAGGGAGAACCAGTGGGCCTTCGAATGAAGACCCCCCCCCCCCCCCCCCCAAAAAAAAAGCAACAACCATCTCATGCGAATGACCAGCAAGGAAGGGGAAGCGCGTCATGTCGAGAAGTTGATCCTGGAGCAGCTATGAACTCTCTGCTTGAACTGTCTTTAAGAAAGTTGTAATTAGGGTTAGTTCGTCGTTAGTTGGTTGGGAGAGCAGACTATTTAGCTGACTCCGTTCTGTTTTGTGCACTCTGGAGCGAGAAGGAAATGATTGCTGGTTGTTCTGCTTATTCTGCTTTCTGGTAATTTTGTGCTGCCTCCCTTGTTGCCTTGGTGTTTTGTTCCGAACTAGGTGATGCACTGATGCTGATGCCCCGGTTGAGATTCAGGTAATGCTTCTGTGCTCCAGGTGGGTTACCAAGATGGCATGCTGTGGTTTGGGACAGAGCTCCCCGGTTGAGCTTCAGGTAAAATGCTTATGGGCTCCAGGTGGGTTACCAAGATGGAATGCTGTGATTTGGGACTGAGCTCCTGAGGATGTGGTTGTGCTATGGGTGTTTGGTTTTGAGTCAATTTTTGCGTAGAATTTTGCGTAGAATTTGATACCATTGGTAGTAAACCAAACATTAATTTGATACTATTGTAATTATCAAAATTTTGGTAAGCCCTACAGAAGAGATTTCTTTTGGTCAAGTCTCTGCTTCTTCTGGTCAAGTCTGTCTTGGAGTACAGAAGATGTTTCCAATGATTCCTGTTATGTTTACAATTGTACGTACACAATACCATGTCATCCAACAAATTGTATTGACAAGAGCTTTCAGATGATTCCTTCTCATACAATTGTACAAAATTGTATTGACAAGAGCTTTCAGATGATTCCTTCTCAAACAATTGTACACAAATATTCAGTAAAACCATGTCTCCATGTTGAGAAAGATGGCTGCTGGCTGCATCACATGGTTCTACAAGGACCTTACAAAATGCCTATGTTTAATAATTTGTTGCTTGACTACATGTACAGCCAGTGTGATCCACTGTATACCACTCGGCAGTGAAACTACGCTATCAGCGTCTCAGCAACTATTCTGATCGCATCGTCCGAGCTGACATCATCAAGCTCAATTGTTTTCTTTGGAGGGCAATGAAACTACGCTATCAGCGTCTTAGCACTATACTGATCTCATCGTCCGAGCTGACGTCATCAAGCTCAATCGTTTTCTTTGGAGGGCATGTCATCTTCATTTTCTTGTTATCTTGCTCTTGCTTTTGTAATCCCGGTTTGGGCATTGATTTGGTGCTACAAGATGTGGACCTACATGTAAGTGAAGCTTGCTCAGTTTAAATGTCATTGGTTGATAGAGTGGGACATAAAGACTACAGTAAGCAAACCAAGCGACATATAGTTTTGACACAAACCTTTTGTTTGAGCTGAACCTTGATGTCTGTGGATTGGTGGAACCATTGCTGGACAAATTTGATTCTATATTACCTGATCAATGCAGAAGAAAATCAGTTCTGAATGCAAAGCAATCATAACATTTTTCTTTCGTTAAGTTGGTGCTACTTTCGTTAAATTATTACGCCCACTGGAATGGAAGGGGAAACGTAGCTTTGTACCTGTAACATGGGAAAGGAACCTTATACCCTGTGACTGGCTCTTAGCAGTCACTCTATCTGCATTACTGCAAAACAAAATAAGAATTAATACATAAACTATTTAGCATGGTAATTCTAAGCTGCCATTCATTTGGGGATTCTTCTAGGAATCTAGGTGTCACAAGCCAAAAATCATTTCCTAGGACAGTTCAATTTACATACCATTTCATGCCACACATGACCTCCAAAAAGATTTGACTACAAATGAAGTATGTGCTTACTTTATCTAGCAGGACAACTGTAATACAATCATTTCCATATTTCAACACTGTTTCATTCGCTATTGAAGTTGACTTTTGTCAGGAAAGAACATGAAATGTGAACAGAACAATATGCAAAGATGGCAGCTGGGATAGTATTTCATACCTCAAAGCCCTTTTTAACCCATCTATTGACATCACTTTTACTGGTTGTAATGGGTTTCTTGAATTGGATCGTTCTAGGGGATTGACCATGTAAATCCCTTCTGAACGAAGTTTTGAAGCAAATTTGAAGTTTCTGAAAGATATAGCATGCAAAGTTCAACAAAGATATCTTAAAACTATATCAAGGGGAAATATAGAAGATCCCTTTGGGGGTTCACTAATTCACTTACCCGCCCTTAAGCTCTACCCTGCCAGTAGAGTACTTCTGTGAGGATTTCTGCCAATAGGAAATAAGCGAGATGCGTCATGTGAAATTAATCTATTTTGAGTTGCAAAATGCTGGAAATCACAACTTCCGTCCTTACCGATGAATGAAATTTGCAGTATGATCCTTTACGCCTGAAAATGTACAGAGAATATTCAGTAGAGGCCCATAGATACATCCATGAAAACCAAGCAGATTCATCTGATTTTTGGTTCAGATATCACACAAAAAGAAATGCTGTGAAATTATTTCTTTTTGTGACCAGGTGTAAAACTTTAGTTATCTAAGTACAACCACATGTAAATGCGAATCTTAAGATCTATGATAAAATTGGTGTTCAGTTACAATTTGCTTTCATGGTTGAAAATGTATCTGAAATATCCAGAACATAATCCACCCAGGCAAACTGAAATTAGCTTAATATCGGCATCAGTGCATATTAGATTTTTGTTAATACCTTGCCCAGAAAGATATTTCACATCTTAAGCAGATACAACCCAACAGGTTAAGTTTTGAAACAAAGTTCTCATCGTTGCAGAGGAAATGCATACTTGTTTATGGCCATGGTGCAGCCCATCCCATCTTTCCTCTTCCCCTTGCAGATCCCGAAATCCGCGGAGACTCCCATCTTCATCATCTGCCCTACGGAGGCGACGCTCACCGAGAACCCTCTCCCCTGCAAGAACACCCAAATCAGCATCACTCTGATGAGCACAAATCAACCCTGATGAGAAATGCAAAATGGAGAAATCAGGTACCCCGTTGTCCATGCGGACATTGCCGTTGAACAGCGCGAACACGGCGCCGACGGCGGCGCCGGAGTGGTGCGCGTGGGCGTCCCCGAAGAGGAACACCGACACGTCGGCGTCGTCGAGCGCGCCCATCTTCCAGATGCTGTACTCCTTCCCCTGCGCGCTCACCCGCGGCGCGCCCTTGTCGAGCACCACCCCCGCCGTCGCCCAGCAGCCGGAGAAGCTGTCGCCCCCGGCGAGGTTCCTGCGCACCAATCGATTAGAGCGGCGCAAACACAAACACAAACAACCCAGCGATGCAAACAAGGCGGCGGGGTGAGCCTGAATCCTTACCTGATGGCGGAGATGCGGACGAACCGAATGTCGGCGAAGCGGTTGGTGATCTCGAGCGGCGACGCCGTCAGGCTCCTGATGCGGAGGCCGGAGTGGGCGTCGACGATGGTCTCGGTGGACTTGGGGGGCCTCTTCCCCTTGGGGAGAGAGGTTGCGACGGCGGCGGGGGTGGCGTCGAGGTAGTCCTTGACGGCGTCACGGAACACGGACATGTCGGTGCCGCCGGGGCGCACCGCCCTGGGAGGGGTGAAGGCCGCGGCGGTGGCGGCGTCGCGGCGCGGGGAGGAGGGAGGGGTCTCGAGGACGGCCTCGCCGCCGTCCGCGTCAAGGGAGAGGAGGAGGTCCAGGTCGTCGGCGGCGGCGGCGGTCGCCATGGGTGGAGATGCAGCGGCGAGGCGTGGAGGAGCACCACTGGAATCCGCGCGCTGCCGATTGCGCACAGGAATCAGATCGAGAAATGCAGAGAGAGATGGGAATAGGAAGAGGAAGAGGAGAGGAGGAGGAGGGGAATTGGAGGGAAAGGGGGGGATTTCGGCAGGAGCAAGTGAGAAGTTTTGGAGGGAAAAAGTTGAAAAGTTTTGTTTATAGGATTTATAAAACTATTTATAAATATTGGCATGAAAGGGCGTTTGGTCTAGTGGTATGATTCTCGCTTTGGGTGCGAGAGGTCCCGAGTTCGATTCTCGGAACGCCCCCTTTTTTGTTGCTTCGCCTTACATATCTCTCTCCTTTCTTTTTCTTCGTCCTCTCTTTTTTTTTCTCTTTCTTTTTCTTCCTCCTTATTTTTTTCGTTGCTTCGTCTTCCTTATTTCAGTTTTTGTACATAAACATCTCTAACATCTCCATCTATTTTGTTGCTTCGTCTTCCTTATTTCAGTTTTTGCACATAAACATCTCCATTTTTTTTCCTGGTTATTTCATTTCGTACGTAAACATCTTCCTTTATTTGCTTCCTCCTGATTATTTCATTTTGCACATAAATATCTCCAATTTTTGGGTTGTTTTCTCTGGTTATTTGATTTTGGACATAAACATCTCCTTTTTTTCCTTTTTTTTCTTTTTTCTTTTTGCTTCCTGTGGTTATTTGATTTTGCAGATAAACATCTCCTGTTCTTCAGAAAAATGTGATGGTTTTGCACTTGTCGGCAGCACAAAGCGCACATATAGCTAGTACCGATTTCTAGCAGTAGGGTCTCTATTGAGAGATTTTTGCTGCAGTGGTCGAGCAATCTTTTATTGCCTCTCCTCTGAAAGCAATTAAAAAAGCGATGTTGCGCAATGAGCATCGCCACCTGTCAACTGATACTGAAACCCCACTTGAATTATGGCATTTTGTTTGCTCTTTGCCAAGAAAACATGGCGTTTGGTATTCAGCAGGAAACGAAAATCTGTTTGGGCATGTCAATTGCCTCTCAGATGGTAACCCAAAGACTGCATGCTCATTGTACTCGCTCGAACCATGCTCTCTGCGAGTTGGCTCAACAAAATTACTTCGGTAACAACAATTTAGCAGTTGCGAGATTGGTTAAGCAGTGCAGCCATGCAGGACAGGAGGAGTGTATCCTAGGGAAGTCGTTGTTGTCTCGTGCGTATTCTCGAAAAGAAAATTATTGTCTTAATGAGATAACTCCGGGGTAGTGGTAGGGTAGGGATACATGGTTTTAACCCTCCGGGTTCTCGTATTTCGATTCTCAACACGTTTACACTTTATTTTTAATTATTCGACATCAAGTTTATTCTTTTTTTTTGACAATTCTACCCCTATGAGCATCTTCGAAGACTGAGCCGGCAAATTCTGGAGAGATTGACGAAGTCAGGTGCTACTGAAGCTCTTGTAACCACTAGGTTACAGGCCCTTTCGCGACATCAAGTTTATTCTTGATTGTCCTATGATTATTATCTAGTAGAAACAGATGTAGAATCAACGGATCATATCTTCCACGACAACAATGTACATTTTTTAGGGTTTGTAGTAGATTTTTATCGTGTCGTCAAGAATTGCACATAGTACAACAGGTGGGTCTGGAGGCGGTCATGCCCATGGGACGTCGACACTCTCGTTTGCAACCTTTCACCATGATCGCTCGCTCTCCTCCAATATGATCATACCCTTGCGCGTTATTGGCAATTAACCTCCCCCGTTTTGCCTCCACTGACACGTCTCCTGTTGCTGCTGGGAAAGGTGCCACCGCAACAGGAGACGTGTGAGTGGAGGCAAGACGGGGGAGGTTAATTGCCAATAACGCGCAAGGGTATGATCATATTTGTCGAGGAACGATCCTCTCTAGCGGGTGATCGAGAGATCCCCTTTTTGTGAGTTCGGCCGGGGGAATGGGCGCGCTAATCGGGATCGTGTATCCGCCTAGAGTCTTCCGAGACCGCACGCGAGAGCCAGGATTATACAGGTTCGGGCCGCTATGGAGCGTAATACCCTATTCCTCTGCGTGGGATTTCTGGTTGGGTGCTATAAAGGTTCCTAAATTCCAGGGAGCACTCTCGCTCTTCTTCCCCTGAGGTTTAGGCTAACTGACTATTGTCCCTTTTTTCGGTGGGCAAGGTCCTCCTTTCATAGTTCAAGGGGATACCACATGTACCGCCACTACCTACTCCTTCACGGGGGGGGGGGGGGGGGCACCTACTCCGCTTGGATCGGACCACCATTCGTGCCTTCGCCCGGAAGCTAAGCAGTCGTCCGTCCACGAGTGGGGCCCAGCGCTGCCCTCTGCCTGACACGGGGGACACCCTTGTCATTCCCCTTTAAATGAAGGGAGACTTTTAGCGGTCCATCTCACGTGGAGGGGGCTTCAGATGATGCTTTGATGGGACGGGGCATACCTGCCCCCACTCCGCCAAGTACAGGGCGGAACATGGGGGCACCTCCGCCCGTCCGATCGGACGTGACTGGCGACAGGCCGTTCACAGTCCGGTCACGCCCCGATTGACGTGGGTCAATCGGGCAGCGCCGCACGTCCGCCCTTACCACATTAAACGCGGTGAGGGATGGTTGGGGCGCTGCGTATTGATGACGGTTCAGCCTGGGTCTCCGCCCCACTCACCCCCCCCCGCCACGTGGCGGTTGGGCGAGGGCCTCGGGCCGAGGCAGCGCGAGTGCCCCGAGGGGTGTGACGTGGCGCCCCGAGGCCCCCTGGCTGCCTCCGCGTCGTCCGAGGTGTGGGGGGAGAGCCAGGATGTAGGGCCGCGTGGCTGGAGAGCCAGGATGTAGGGCCACGTGGCTGGACGTCAAGGAGACTTCTCCATACTTCGCATACCCCTGGGCCCATATCACCGACAATATTGGAGAAGAGCAAGCGATCATGGTGAAAGGTTGGAGTCTAGTGACACTGTCAAGGCCACAAGGGGTTTAGAGAAGAGATAACCATACGACTTTGTGGGGGTGAAATCAGGACAGGGATTTTGTCTGCCCGCCTGAAACAAAGCATACGAGCAGGATATGGGAAATAAAGAAAAAAAGGATAGTCAATATTATATACTACGTCCGAATCCACTAAAAATTTTTGTATCGTGGTACAGGAAGAACCGCATCCACCCAATGTCTCATATTGTCAAACATCCAACAAATTCTATTATAGCTCCATTTATAAACATAATGAAACGATAGGTTGATCACCATTTTATGATGTTTATAATATCTCCGATCCCTAGGTCTAATATCTATGGTGAACATGTTCGACCCTAGGTGTAATATCTACGATGGTTTTGTATATCCACTTGTGGATACAAAATGCTAGATTTCTATTCAAAATTATTTTTAAAATGTTTAATAATATATGTGGATCAACGATCTAAATAGATACCCTTTCCAAATCCAATTGTGAGAAAAGAAAAGTAGTATATGATACATGATAAATGTTAAGTTATCCGTACCCGCTTCCAACTCAGGAAGATATGGGGCTAGATACATGAATAACATGATCCAACCATACCATTTTCACCCTTAGACTTTTGCGATCCCATTCTGGATGGCCCAATATATGGGCCAGCACAGATGTGACAATCCCGTTCCGGGCAAACTAAACGGGACACACCTAAGTCGAAATCCCGTTCCAGGCTAACCAACATGGGCCGCACGCAAATCGCAATCCTCATCACATGACTAGCAAGTAGCAACTATAGCAAGTAACAACAGCTTCATATTATTAGTGCACAAACTGTCAATATATCTAAACAAACTGAACTACAAACTGTCTGTCAACCTGTGATGGTTAATATTATTTTCAACACCTACAGAATCAATACATATGATAGGAGAGGATTAAGAATAGAAGACATCTTCGAGTCTATCAGCAGCTACCTTCCTGTTGCATATTAATACCCCCCATGATCCCCAAAAGGCATGTCTCTTCCAAATTTTAATCACACAAGGCACTCAAGACTCATCAATGAGAACCAAAACGAGATGAATTACACAAGCAAGAGGAGCCAAATTGAAACAATGTGTCAATCAGCAGCATCCCTTCTTCCTAAGCCGCCTGCGCCCCTGATACCTTGCATCTCACCTGCACCGCCAGCGTGGCCGTCGTCGCGGGGCAGTTGATGTCCGCGCCGTACACCGTGTTTACCACCGGCAGCACGCACGACTCCTTGCCGAGGCATTCCTACTCGTTTCATTCCAAAGATCAGACATCAATGGAAGTATACGATATTACAAGTCACCAACATATCACTTAGATAAAGGAGGAGGCAAAAACTTGGAGCCTGGCGGGTGCAAGGCACCTTGCCGCCTGGCTAACAGTGTAATTGTTTTTGGTTACTAGGGCCGCGGCCGCTTTTCTGTAAATACGATTTTTGTACATTTTACTCCTTCTCTATTAAAAAAAAATTGGCATCTTGCCGATTTCGTTCAAGAAAACATATCACTTAGATGATGATGTTCTGGTACATTGGCAAGTGTTTGTTTGAAGTGTGTACCTTCTCAACGATCGCCTTTGCATCAGGAGTGTGGCAGGTGCCAGCAGTGAAGTTGCCGCACGCGCCCTCCGGGTTGCCGAAGCTGGCGAAGACGACCTCCTGGATGGTCCTCTTCGGGGGGCAGTTCAAGGTGCCCCGGGTGCTCGTGTCTTCGGCTATGAGCTTGATCTGGCCGCCGTCCGACTCCCACGTCTTGATCTGTGCCGGGTTGTGCTCCGAGATGAACACGCAGATGTCATCTCTCCTCACCGTCTGGATGAGGATGCCACCTGGCTTGCCAAGCTCCTCCTCGAATATAATCAAGAGGTTGCCCTTGGGTTTCAAGAACGCTCGTGGAATGTGATATCTGTAAACGGAGAGAAAACATAATGAAAGTGAGAATAAATTTCGTTGTGTATATGCAACCCACTTGTATGGTAGTGTAGGAACTTGCTTACACTGATTGAGAAGGGTGTCCGGCAAGAGTTATGAATGAGGTCCAGTAGCGACCAATGCCTTCTCCGTTAACATATATCATGCCCTTGCTCATAGAGCTCATGTCAACAACAATGGGAT